TTTGGTTTTGCTTCCACCTTTACCAGTTAGCACTTCCTTTGTGCCTGGGTCTTTTGCTTTGTTTTGTTTTGTTTTTTGTGGGGGTTTTTTTTTGGTACAGTGCTTAGGATCAAACCTAGAGCTACACTTTCTGCTGTTTGCTATCCTTTAACTCTGCCCTCCATCTTCCAAGTAGATGAAATTAAGTCATGTACTATCACATCTGATTTCTCTCTCACACACACACCCCTTTTGAGATAGGGTTCTATATAGCTCAGGCTGAGAGGTAACTCACTATGGAGCCCAGAGCTGCCCTCAAATTCCCCATCCTCCTATCTCAGACTTCCGCGGTTGCTGGGATTTTGGGCCTGTGCCTCCATGCCTGACTTCTCATTTCTTTCCAATGGTCTCTTCTAGAGTCTTGGCTGTCACTTGCCAGCACTCCACATCAGATAGGTCTGAGGGCTGTGGGACTGTAAGTAGACACAGAAAACACGAGGCAGGCACTTACATTGGCCCCCAATATGATCCGCAGGTAAAACTTAAGAGTCTCTTTGTTCTCTTCAAATATCTGCTTCTTCCCTCTCGTGCCCACTTTGCCTTTGGGCTGCAGAGAGATAATGAGCCTGGTTAGCTGCAGAGCTTTATCTACACCTCAGCGAAAACCTTTATCGTACTTTGTCGAACCTAGCATTCCCTGGGGTGCCCACCACTCCTCCAGTCCATCCTCCCTACAGTGAGGACACCATCTTTCCAGCACCCCCAGTTATGATCGCCTCCTGTTGGCCTTGGAACAATCCAAACTACGTCGATATCTTTTCTGGCTCCCCTGGTAAGGTTCAGCCTTGGAATGTCGACCCCTGCAGGGGAACTACAGTGGAACTAAATGGCGTCCCTCTCCAGCTGCTGCTGGAGTAATAAAGATCTGGAATTGGCAATCCTCGGCCCCCCGTCCCCCGCACTAGTTCTGGAGTAGTCCTGCGTTGTCACCCTCTCCCCACCCCACTCCCTCTAATACAGTCTGACCATTGGATGGCGCCCCTCTCTGGCCCAGTACTTCAACCTTCATGTCCTTCCTTGCTTTCACTCTCCCAGCCCCAGGAGCGCTTTGCTGGTGCAAACCCTACCCTACCCACCCTCCTTACCGCCATGGTACGAAGCAAATACCCAGCCGCGGAAGGAAGGGCGGGTAACTGGAAAAGCAGTCAGTAGATACCACATAGGCAGCCCATGCACTTCCGGTATAGACCGAAGTCGTAAGGATTCTGGACGGAAGTGGGGTCCATTTCCTCCTCAGGCCCCGCCCCAGAGACGGGTGGACTACACTTCCCAGAAAACTTTGCGCGGGGGCGGAGGCGGCAGGGATGCGATGGCGGAGTAGCTGCCCCTGGAGGTGAGAGGAAGCGGTCCTCAGGCCCGGGCCTGGACAGGCCCCGCCCTCGGGGTCCCGAGCTTTGGGGAGGGACTATCAGAAAGCTCGCCGGGCTGGCGGAAACGACCCGCCCGGCGGATCCCAGGACCTGCAGACTCTGGGTAACGGCCCGCTTTGGGTCATTCGACCCCTTGGGTTGAGAGACCATCCTCTCCTTCCCCTTTGACCCCAGAAGATGGCTGCTCTGTCACCTCAGCAAGGACAGACCCTCTGCCCACCCCCCTACCTTGGGATGGCTGTTCCCTCCCCCTCTGGAAGATGTCCGCCCCACAGTCCCTGAAGGACCCCTTGGAATTGTGGCTCCCTTTCCTCTGCCCCTCCCCCTCCCCTTCCTTGTGGTGGAAAATAGACTGCCCCCAACCCATCTACTCTGGGACAGTCCCTGAGGTCCTTAACTGAAGACAGGCGGGCCCTCTCACCCTAGACTCCTAGAGATGGCTGCCCCATCTTCCACCCCGAGGAATGTTTGTCCTTCCCTTTAGTTAGGGACAAGATAACCTGCCCTCACGGACCAGGAGATTCAGGTTTTGTCTCCGGTAGCTTTTTTTAATGGCCTTTCTACCCATTTTACACAGAGGATTGGCAGCCTCCTCATGCTGCTCAAGGAAGTCAGGCCATTCTTTCCCATAAATCCTGAAATTTCTCCCTTTGCCATGCAATGACATTTTATTCCCCTTTGGCCCCAGGGGTTATCCTTTCAACCCTATAAATTCCATGGATGACCAGTAGTAGTCCCTTGGGGTGGGGTTCATGGGATTGCACTCCACCCTCTTCACTGCCTCCTCTAGTGTTAGAAAGGCCACCCCCTTCTCAGTTTAATGAATTAGGATCCTCCTGGTGAAGAAAGGGTGTTTCCCTCTCCCTTTGCTCCTGGGGTTGGTTGATCATCCCAGAAGTTAGGTTAACCACTTAGCCCAAACAGTCCTTCCTGCCTCCCCTCCTCCAGCCCCATCAACACTTTTCCTCATGCCTTTCCTCCCTAGTACTAGCCATTCTCCTTTCAATAATAACCTGCTTTCTCTCCCCACCCTTTCCCTGAACAAACCTTTGGTGAAAGTAGAGGTAGAGGACTCTCCATCTTTAATTTAACCCAGTAAGTATTGGCTGAGCACTGCCTATGTGCTTAGCATCTGAGAAGGGAAGGAGAGATCACAGTGGGCTGGTGAAGTCAAGCTTACAGAAGGACATTCAGGAAAAAGAACCTCATAAGGAAAAGGAAACATATGCTGTGTTGGTAAAGAGGATGCACTGAGGATGCTCTGGGACTAGCAGGCCCAATCAGGCTTGGAGGCCTAGCAGTGCTGACCCAGGAATAGAGATTTTATTCTGACAGTATTGGGGAACCCTGTTTTCATCAGGGGAGCTCTGAAACTGGAAACAATTTTTTTGTAAAATTAAACCATGTGACTATGTAGAATAGATTAACAAGGATGAACTTAGAAACAAGGAGGTTGTGAAAGATCCAGGGCTAGGGTGATAAAAATCTGGGCTGTTAAGATGGCGAAGTTGCAAGGTAACAAATATTAATAGCAGCAATCTAGCAACCATTTATGGACCACCTAGTTCTTTTAAAAAAAATATTTTTAATTATGTGTATGAGTATATTGCCTGCGTGTAGGTAGGTGCACCTGTGTCATGTAATACCCGCGGAGGTCAGAGAGGGCATTGGATTCCCCCAGAACTGGAGTTATGGACGGTTGTTAGCTACCATGTGGGTGCTGGGATTTGAACCTGGGTCCTCTGTAATAACAGCCAGTGCTTTCAACTACTGAGCCATCTCTTCAGCCCCCAACCATCTAGCTGTATATGATTGTGATCTAGGATTTTTTAAACGTCCTCATTTCATACAGAAACTGAAGCTCAGAGAAGTCAAGTACTTGCCTGAAGTTACACAGCTAGGAGGTAGTAGAACTGGAATTTGAATGGGTCTGGGTTAGCCTTGCCTGAAAACTCAGTTTCATGCCATATTTGGGAGCAAAGAATGGAGTGTGACTAGGATCCTTGGGTTTGGAATACAGAAGTTAGACTGAGGACAAAATGCCAGTTGTGATGAAGAACCATTTGAGTGAAGGACCCAATAGACAATTGGCAGTTCTAGACTAGCACTTGGCTAATAGGACATCATGAAGCTATTGGTTATTCTTTTTTTTTTTTTTGAGATAGGGTTTCCCTGTAGTGGGGGCTGGCCTGGAACTCACTGTGTAGACCAGGCTGGCCTGGAATTCACAAAGATCCACCTGCTTCTGCCTCTCAAGTGCTGGGATCAAAGGCATGTGCCACCACACCCAGCTATTGGTCATTCTTGTATCAGTAAATCGGATTAAGCCCTGGAAGCCACAGAAGAATCCAGAAATAGAGCAATTGGTGTGATGAAGGCTTAGATAGAAAACAATGTTATAGGACTCAAAGAGAGAGGATTCTAGAAGAAAAGGATAAATTAATATGAAATTGTTCCAGGCATCCCAAATGACCCCTTTCTCAGTCTTGTTTAGAGACCCCAACCTTAGTACTCCTAGACTCAGAGTTGTTGGAGGGAAGGCCAGGGCCTCCTGAACCTGCTGTGTATTACCGTAACAACTAGCTGGGATAACAAGAATAAGAAGAGAGAGAGCCTGGCATGATGGTACACGCCTGTAGTCCCAGCACTCTGGAGGCAGAGGCAGGCATATCTCTGTAAGTTCAAGGCCAGCCTGGTCTACATAGTGCGTTCCAGGCCAGCTCCCATTACAGGGAGACACTGTCTCAAAAACACCAAAAAAAGAAATAAGACAATAGGAGCTGGGAGTGGTGGCTCTTGTCTTTAATCCCAGCACTTGGGAGGCAGAGGCAGGCGGATCTCTGTGAGTTCAAGGCCAGCCTGGTCTACATAGCAAGTTCAGGCCAGCTGGGGCTACAGGAAGACCCTGTCTCAAAAAGACAATCAATCAATCGAGCCAGGCATCATGACTCAATGCTTATAATTTCCACATTTTAGAGCCTGTGACAGGAGGACGGCTATAAGTTTGAAGCTAGTCTGGGCTACACAGTGAGACCCTATCTTTAAAAAACTAAAAATAAGGTGACTAGCTGGGCATGGTGGCGCACACCTTTAATCCCAGCACTTAGGAGGTAGAGGCAGGCGGATCTCTGTGAGTTCAAGGCCAGCCTGGTATACAAAGTGAGTTCCAGGACAGCTGGGGCTACAGGGAGACCCTGTCTCAAAAAGACCAAAAATAAATAAATAAAATAAGGTGACTGGAGAGATGGCTTAGTGGTTAAGAGCACTGGCTGTTCTTGCAGAAGACCCTGCTTCAAATCCTAGCCCCCATATGACAGCTAACAACTGTCCACAACTCCAGTTATCAGGGGATCTGACACCTTCTTCTGTCCTCTGTGGGGATTGAATGACATGGGTGCACTTACATGCAGGCAATATATGAATACACATAAAAATAATAAATAAAATATTAAAAAAATAGGGGCTGGAGACATGGCTCAGCGGTTAAGAGCACTGACTGCTCTTAGAGAGGACCCGGGTTCAATTCCCAGCACCCACATGGTGGCTACGAACCATCCTTAACTCCAGTTCCAGGGGAATCTGAAGCTCTTTTCTGACCTCCTGAGGCATTGCATAACATGGGTGCCCTCATATACATGCAGGCAATACACTCACACATAAAATATTTTTTTTTTTTTGAGACAGGGTCTCCCTGTAGCTCCAGCTGGCCTGGAACTCACTATGTAGACCAGACTGGACTTAAACTCACAGAGATCTGCCTCCCAAGTGCTGGGACTACAGGCCTGTGCCACCACGCCCAGCTAAAATAAAATATTTTAAAAATAAATAAATATGCCAGGCATGGTGGCACACGCCTTTAATCCCAGCACGTGGGAGGCAGAGGCAGGCGGATCCTCTGTGAGTTCGAGGCCAGCCTGGTCTACAGAGTGAGTTCTAGGCAGCTGGAGCTACAGGGAGACCCTCTCAAAAAACCCCAAAATATAATATAATAATAATGATAATAAATAAACAAAGCTGGGTGTGATGGCACACGCCTTTAATCCCAGCACTCAGGAGGCAGAGGCAGGTGGATCTCTGAATTCAAGGCCAACCTGGTCTACATAGTGAGTTCTAGGCCAGCTGGGGCTACAGAGACACCCTGTCTGAAAAAGACTAAAAATAAAATAAAAAAAATATAAGAGGAGCACTTGTCTTAAGTACTATGTGAGACAGTATGGCTATGTCATTTCTCATAAGAACCCATTCAAATCTTGCTATAGTTGCCATTCACACATGAGAAAACAAGTCTCAGAGAGAGGTCAGCTAGTTAGGTAGGAACTTGGACTAGGTTTGTCTGGCCTGTGTCCAGGCTTTTTCTGCAAAACAAAGTTTAATTCTTAACAGTTGGTACAAGCCTACATTCAGAAGTGGCTCAGGTAAGGTTCATTCTTAGGGATGCCTGGAGGCTGGAGAAGGAAGTAAATACTTAATGAAGCTTTGGGTCCAAGATGGACTAGACGTCAGTGCTCTGATGCCCTCAGATCCATAGGTACCGAGTGGGTAGGTTCTAAAGGCCTCCCAGTTCTAACAGCCACCGAACACCTTGTCTTTTTCCCTCAGATGCTCATATTCTGAGCTTCCTACCTCTGTCAGATCAGAAAGAGGCCTCCCTCGTGAGTCGGGCTTGGTACTATGCAGCCCAGAATGCCCTTCGGGAGGTAAGGTACTCATCCCACTTGGCCCATTCTCAGTTGTCCTTCGCTTCAGCTTGCTCATGGCTCTACTAGTATATCATCTGTCAATTCATCCACCCATCCATTCATCCATTCAACCATCCTCACATTCATACATCTTGGGCTCTGGGTTCAGAACTTGGGTTATACAAGTGAATAAAACATAGGCCTCCTAAGTAGCACATGGTCCAATGAAGGAAAAGACAAGTAGCATGAATTGTCATTATGCTGTGCACTCAGTGCTGTGACACTGAATGAAAAGGTGCAATAAACATAAGAAGGACATCCAAAGATCAGCCAGCAGCGTCAGGGAAGGCCTGGAAGAATAGGATGAGATTGAAAGCTGTTCTAGAACTGGCATCAATGTGTAGAATGGTTCTGAAAACAGCCACACAAGTTCCATATAACTGGAACTGAGGTTTGTGTGGGGAAAGTGCTGGTAGAAGAGACTAGAATGGGGTCAGACTGCAAGCTGGCAGATGTGCCAGGCGGCAGAGGTTGGGCTTTCTCTCTATTATTACTGTGGAGCCTTTAAGAAATGTTAAGGCAGGCAAGTGACAGGGTATGATTTGTGTCTTAGAACTCTGCAGTGCAGAGTGGACTAGAGGGGTGCGACAGTGTAGGGAGGCAGCCCAGCCAGGAGGGGAATGCAGATATCTGTGCTATCCAAAAGGCAAGCCATGATCCGCCTGCCTCTGCCTCCCAAGTGCTGGGATTAAAGGTGTGTGCTACCACGCCTGGCTGAATTTTTAATATACTTTAAAGATTAGGTCTTTATGTGTGTGTTAAAATCTATTCCTAATATGTTGATCCCCCTTTATTTGTAAATGTTTTTATTTATGAGGTACAGAGATTAAACTTCTATGTTAGTGATTCTGAGTATCCCTTTTCTTTTTATGTCTTCCATTATTATTTAAAGATCCCTTGCCCTATGCTGGGCATAGTGATGTATATCTTTAATCCCAGCACTCTGGAGGCAAAGGCAGGCGAGCAAGGCCAGCCTGGTCTATACAGTGAGTTCCAGGCCAGCTAGGGCTACAGGGCAACCTGTCTCAAAAAAAGACCAAAAACAAAAAAACTTTAGTTTTAGGCTCAAAGAAAAATTATTTCTCTTTATGGTTTTTAATTTTTTCTTTTTAAAATTTTCTTTCTACTTTCCTTTTCTTTCTCTCTGTTTTTTTGAGACAAGGTCTTACCGTGTAAGGCTGGCCATGAATTCTTGGCAGTCTATCAGCCTCAGCCTCCTTGTGCTAGGATTGCAGGCACGAGCTACTACATTCAGCTTGGTTTTAACTTTTTTTGATGAAAATTATTTTTTAAAACAAATGTTTATTTTATGTGTATGAGTGTATTACCTGCATGTGTAAGTACACCCATGCCATGCAATGCTTGCCTGTCAGAAGAAGGCGTTGGATCCCCTGGAACTGGATCCAGTTGTTAGCTACCATGTGGGTGCTAGGAATCAAACCCAGGTCCTCTGCAAGAGCAGTCAGTGCTCTTAACTGCTGAGTCATCTCTTCAGCCCCATTGATAAAAATTATTTTTTATTCATGAAACTTATTTTGATTTATATTATAAGGTATGAAGCTGATCTGAATAGTTTTCAGATAGCTCCAACATCATTTCTATCTAGTCTTCTCTATTAGATGGAATCCTCCTCTGTCACATATCAAATGTATCTATATAAGTAGAGTCTGTTGTTGGATTACCTATCCAGTGTCATTGATCATAATGTCTAAAGGAATTTGATTTTGGACTTGTTGAAAATTTGAAGTGTGAGATATCCAGATGCCAAGATTAAGTTGGTAGTTGAATTTCTGTGTGAGACATTCAAGCTAAAGCTTTGGGTAATAAATATAGACTTGGGTGTCATTAAAGAATGGATAGAGCTGGGAGTGTAGCACTTGACTAGAATGCAGAGTGCCCTAAGTTTGAGCCCTGGGACTGGAAAAAAAAAAATGGAAGTAAGGCCTCAAATCTGAGTAACTCCACCCCAGGGAAAGTGTGACGAGCCAGAGGAGTAACAGACAGCAGACATATAGAAGGAGACGTCTATAGTGGGGGATGAGATTTCAGAGAGAGACAGGACCAAGACGAGAACATTTAAAGAATCCAGTGAATGATCAATGGTGCAGAATACCACAGAGTCTAGCAAAGTAAAGAACAAATGGTGCCCACAATATATGCTGGCTAGTCAAGTGTGGTAGCATACTCCTGTAATGCCAGCACTTGGAAAGTAGAGGCAAGAGGATCAGTTCAAGGCCAGCCTTGACTATATAGTGAGTTTGAGCCTAGCCTGGGTTTTACATGCACACACACATACACACACACACACACACACACACACACACACACACACGTGGAGGAGACAGGAGAGTAGGGAGGCAGGCAATCCAGGAGGTCATCAATGATTTTGAGAGTATTTGTCATCTAGGAAGGAAAAGCCTGGTGGGTTGAAAAATGAATGTGAGAAAAAAGAAATATAGAGTGACCTCATTTGCAAGAAATTTCCCCATGGAAGAAAGGAAATAAGGCAGAAATGAGAGGCTGAGGTGGGTTTGACAAAGAAATTGTGACTAGAAGAAATCTCAAATGCATTACATGCTTAAGGCAGGGAATCACTAGAGGAGGGATCAATATAGGGAGGAGAGAGGTCAGGACTGGTGGATGCCACTTGGTGGCAGAGACAGGCTTCAGTCTATAGGCTGGATTTGGAGAAAATGTTACCTCTTCCCGAGGAAACAACTAGAGGTGAAGGAATGTGCAACTGTTGGCAGAGTTCCTCAGAGGCATCTCCTTCCTCAGTGGCCACTTTGAATTTGCTGGCCACGTTTTCTTAGGGGAGTGACAAAAGAGGTAGATACCAGGGTCTCAACAGAGAGAGTTAGAATAGTCAAAAGGCAGAAGGATGACAGAAGATTACCAAAGACTAAGAGATGTTTGTCATGCCAAGCACTGTCCTGGGCCCAGAGGCGGGGGGGGGGGGGGGGTTAGGGTGCAGGCAGAAATGAAGAAGATGAACTACTTGGGAATTCACAGTGTGAGAGAAAAGCATGAGCCAAAAGGGGTAGGGTGCTGCATTCAGAGTGCAAGGTGCATTCCCAGAGGAGAAAAAAATCAAAAAAGCCTCCATGGAGAAGGAGATGTTTTGCTTAATACTCAAGAAAGAAAGAGTGAGGATGGTGGGAAGAGCTGGGTTGAAGAAATAGGTCTCAGTCTCTCATAGAAGCACTTGAATGCTAGCCTCTGTCCTGTGGATGGGAGACCTCTCAGAGGGCCTGAAGACCACTGTCAGATTTAACTGTTGCAAATATCACCCTAGTGACAAGATCAAGGATGGTGTATAGCCAGCAAAACTGAAAGTCAGAGCCAGGCATGGTGGCACACACCTTTAATCCCAGCACTCGGGAGGTAGAGGCAAAGTGGACCTCTGAGTTTGAGGGCAGCCTGGTCTATATAGCTACATAATGAGTTCCAAGACAGCCAGGGCTACCTATCTCAAGAAAAGGTTGGTGGTGAGGGATAAGGCAGAGACTGACAGAGCAGGACATCTGATGCCCTCCTTTGGCCCCCACATACCCTCACACACTCATGTATATACATCATGCTCATACACAACACATTCAAACATAGCCAAAAAAAAAAGACCCAGAAGACAGAAAGAAAGAAAGAAAGAAAGAAAGAAAGAAAGAAAGAAAGAAAGAAAGAAAGAAAGAAAAAGAGAAAGAAAAAAATAGAGAAAGGAAGATATATTGCCACATAGGATGAAGGACAGTGTGACAGGGAGGTCATGGAAGAGGACAAAGACCATATATGTGCATGTATTGTCAGTTGGAACAAGGCAGGGAGAACCTGCTCATCTGTGGTCTGGGTCTGTCTGCTTTAGTGACCCCACAAAGAGACCAATGAAGAACAGGCTAGAAGGCCAGAGGTGTACCAGGAGGGCACAGTGGGAAGTAACACCATGGATTAATGGCTCCCTAGCAGGTGGCATGACAAAGAGGATGCTGTGAGGTTAAAGAGAAGCCCCTACATGCTAATGACTTGCTAGAGGGGAGTTATGACCAGGAATGAGTGCTTCTGTTAGGGAGGAGCAAATGGATGAAGCAGAGGGGAACTAGGTGGCTAGGTAGTAGATGTGAGTGCCCCCTTGTTTCCAAGAGCACAACCAGAAGGGGAAAATTTGGAGAGATGAGAAAGGTACTGTAGCGCTCAAGAGACTGAGGTAGGAGGATTGCTGTGAGTACAAGGCCAGTCTGGGCTACATAGTGAATTCAAGGCCAGCCTGGAGTGCATAGTAAGGCCCCAAGACTTGTCTATGGAATGGAACAATAGAAAGGCAGAAACTGTGGGATTCCCACAAGATGAGGTGGGCACAGGTCAGAAGAAAGGATTGAATAAACCAAAAGAGATGGAGGAGGTGAAGTTGTGCTAGGAACCAGCTGGTAAGCTTGAACAGGGAGGGACTTCCCATCTCATAGCTTTGGTTGCTTTTCAAAGCATCATAGGTCATTTCTAAGAAGGCTAGGTGAGTGCAGGCTGCTGCAGAGCTGGAGAGGATGGTGAGCTTGGTGAGACGGGAGCAGGGAGGCAGGGAGGAAGTAGAACACGGGAGGCCCAGCTTCCTCAGCAGTATTCTATATCCTCAGCACAGACCACAGGCAGGCAGCTGGTCTCATCTGCCTGGAAAGGAGAGTGGGCATAGCAGCATAAAGAGGACAGTGAACACTTAGAAGTCTTACGGAGAACAGAAGAGGACAGAGGGTATGTTCAGGCTCTGGGTATAGGTGAGATGGAAGAGGAACAAGGAGGGAAGGAAGAGAAAGCCAAAACCTATGGCTGAGATCGTAAAAACCACTATCGTAGGGGCTGGAGAGATGGCGCAGCGGTTAAGAGCACTGACTGCTCTTGCAGAGGACTTGGGTTCAATTCCCAGCACCCACATGGTGGCTACGAACTATCCTTAACTCCAGTTCCAGGGAAATCTGAAGCCTCTTCTGATCTCCACAGCATTGCATGACACGGGTGCATTCACATACACACAAGCAATACACTCATACACATAAAATAAATATAATAAAGTCAGGCATGGTGGTGCACGCCTGTAGTCCCACCACTTGGGAGGCAGAGGCAGGCAGATCTCTGTGAGTTCAAGGCCAGCTTGGTCTACATAGTGAGTTCCAGGACAGCTGGGGCTACAGGGAGACCTTGCTTCAAAAAAACAAAAAACAAAAAACAAAACAAAAAAAAAACACTCATAGAGCTGGGGCTGCTCTTACTAACTGGGAGCTCCAGATAGTGTGGCAAAGACCTGTTTGGTGCCTTTGCAAAGCTCAGCCCCACCAGGCTGGGAGCAAGGGATGGCCAAACCACAGGCACCTGGGCATCTAGGACCCTCCCACTTCACCACCATTATATCCCTGAGAGCAGTCTACAGACCCCATCCTCCAAGGCCCAGGTATGGACAGGTAGAACAGGAGGCACTCCCCACAGCCACTGGTGCTATGCAAGGTCCTAGCCTATCAAGGCCAAGCTGGGCCTAAATCTCACTAGGCCAGGGTAGGATACCTGGACTTGGTGGCTTGAGTCCTCTGCCTACTCTTCACTTAATCCTAGTTTATCCCAAATAACGAAGCAGGGAAGGGCAGTGCCCCAAGTACCCAGGCTCTGTCTAGTGCCCTAGAAAGTTCTGGTTGTCCACCATTGGGTTGGTCACTATGGAGCAAGAGTGAACGACAATTTAGCTTCTTCTCACTACTGTGCTGTCCAAGGTGAATTCCTCTCCAGAGACCAGCACCTCTGGGCACCAAACCTGTATTTCCCTACAGCCTTCTGGAGAACAGGTACTTTAGCTTTTGGATTCCTGTGCCGAGCAGATGGAAGAATTTCTCTATTAGATGACTCTCCAAGCTTGTATACAAGCCTACCGTCTCAGAGTGGAACTTTGCTAGGTACTGAAAAGCCCTGGCCTCCATAATCAAAGGGCAACTGTCAATTTTAGAAGTAGGCATTTACCAAGTGACTGCAACTGTTCATAAGATGCCAGCCTGGAGAAAGATCAGGTGCCTGTTTGGTCCATCTGTGGATGGGTGGTTGAAATTAGAGCAGGTATCCTTACAGTCCTCCCTCAGGCCTCTAAAAGCAGCTTCCTGGAGCCTGGGAAAGGCCTAAGTTCAGAACTAAGGATCCCTACTTCCATCTGTCTCCCCGCAAAGAGTTAAATATTCCTAAAAGGCTGTCCCTGGGCCCCTGCAATTCCTTCCAGTGACCTCAGGAGAAGATTGACCTTCATAAAACTAAGAGTGGTAGTATATCCTACAGTCTCAGCACTTGGGAAGTAGAGGCTGGAGGATCAAAAGTTCAAGGTCATCCATAGCAAGTTTAAGGAGAACCTGGCCTATGTGAGATCCTGTCTCAGAAACAAACAGAAAAATGAGTGGGGGCCAGAGAAGGTCTCAGATCTCCTTCCTCCCCAGTAGTTGGAAATCCTTTGGGTTAAGCCCTGTTCATTTATCTTGAGGCTTTTTACTGCTGGCTGCTAGCTCTGGTCTGAACCCTGAGTGACTGCCACTGCCCTCCCTTGGCCATTTGTCCACCTTGTTCACAGGGAGGTAATGGGAGAGGAGAGAACATTCCTGGCTGTTCAAGCTCCCAGGAAGGGAAAGAGGCTGAGTACCATGTTTGCAGCTACCAGAGCTAAGGCCCCTGTGGCTTTCAGGTTCCTGAGCCACATGAGTGGTGGGGGCCGATGCTGCCTGGGCAACGGAGCTGCTCCCAGTTTCCCCATCCTGGTTTATTCAGCATCAGACTGACTAATGTGGTGTACCAGGCTTCACAGTGGCTGGAGGCTGCTTTTTCTTTCCTTTTTTGCTCTGATCTTTTCATCTCTTTCCTCTGCCTGGCAAACTAGGATTTTCCTCCTAGCTCATCTTAAATCTGAGAGAGGGACCCAGGCCTTTGGGAGTCCCCACTGCCCCAGGACAAGGGGATCTGAAGGGGTTCTGTGGTGAGTGCTTCTCTCGCAGGGAGTGGGAATGACTACATTCAGAAGTGGGATCAGGAAGGGGGATCCTGGCTAGCCCTGATTCCTGTGAGAGACCAGGAGGTTGTCCTCATCTTTTTTCCTTTTTTGAGACAGGGTTTCATGTAGCCCAGGTTGGTCTCAAACTTGCTATGTAACTGAAGATGTCCTAGAACTTCTGATTCTCCTGCCTCTGCCTCTTGAGCGCTTGGATTACAGGCATGCACCACCATACCTAGTTTATGTGATTCAGGGTATTGAACACAGGACTTCATGTGTGCTAGACAGCCACTCTACCAATAGAGCTACATCCTCACCCACCCCCACCCCCCCGCAGTCCTTGCCACTTCCATAACCTCCTTCCCACTGTGACAGCCATGCTGAGAGAGAAGCCAGACTGTTTTCCCATTCATAGTAATGGGCCTGTGTTGGCTGGGAGAGTCTTGCTGTTAAAATTTTGCAGGATTATATCCTGTATATCACTTCTGCCTTTCTTGTTTCTTCTTGGTGCTGTTATGTGAGATATAAACAGAGAACAGTGGCTTGTTTTTGCTGTTACTGACAAAAGTAGTTGTTTTCCAGAGCTTACTTTCCTGCATCAGAACCATGTTGATGCTAAAACTAAAGCCTTCTTGAACTAATCACTTTCCTTCTATCTGGGTAAAAGGTAGAGAGATAGGACTAGGTAGTTGGGGGTGTGTGCTGGAGATCAACCCAGGGCCTCATACCTGCTTGGTAGGTACTCTATCACTGAGCTACATCCCCAGGCCAGAGAACAGGATTTTGAAAGGCCAGCTGTCCTCTGTCCTACAGACCTATTCCATACACATTGTGCTTGACTTCCCTTAGCTCCTTTGGCATGAGATTAGGGAAGGTTCTTTGAAAATATTTTCCTTAATGGGGGCTCTCAAACTTCTGTTCATGTCACTGTATTCCCGCAACTTAGCCCTGAGCCTGCCTCCTAGTTTGAACCCCACTCCAACCATGTACTCCTCATTCTCTCCCTTGAACAAGTACAGCTTAACTTCCTAGGCATCTCTGGAACTTCTTGTATTAGATTCTGTCCGCTACAGAGATGTGCTGCAGGTATCCCAGGCAACCCCACACTTTAGTACACACACACACACACACACACACACACACACACACACACACACACCTTCGCTTACACATACAACCATTTTTGCAAACATTCATGTGCTTGAGGCACTCAAGCTACCAGGGGCCCTAGGTCTCAGTGCATATTCCAGTCATCTGGCACCTGGACCACAGAAAGTTGTGAGTGATGCTTGCTTCACTTCTCCCTTCCACTCTTAGTGCTGTTTATATCCTCTCTAGCAAGCTGGGGAAGCTTGTTACTTAGCTGATGCCAAGTTGTTGAAATAAGAGGCTAGGTTCAAGTCTCTCAGAGTCTCTCAAAAATCCAAAAGGTTGGCACCCAGCATGCTTTGTCCTCCCACTGCATGTGAGCTTCACTGAGTGTCCTCTAGGGCACAGCCCTCCTATACTCAGCTTGCCAACTCCCTACCCAGCCTTGCTAGGCATTTAGTCTTGTCCTTCACTAGCTTGCTGCCTGCTTATCATCTCCCTCCAAAGACAGCATGACTTCTCTTCCCACTTGCCACTTTCTGCCCACACTCTCCTCAACTGCACATGATACCACACACAAATTGGGTTGTCATTGTAGAAGGGCCCTTCCTGACCTGACTTTGAATTCTGAGTGCTAACTTAAGGCCTGCTGCTGCCCTTTAGACAAATGTGCAGTACAACATTCCTGTATCTTCTGCCTCCATCTTGGCCATCAAGAACTTGGGCCTTTGGGGCATCTAGTGCCTGACCAACCTTGATGGCTCATCAGCCTCTCACCAGCTACTGGAGTCTGTCACTCGTCACTTAGGCCCACACCTGGAGAGCTTATGCCTGGGTGGGGGCAGCCCCACGGAGGCATCCTTTGTGGCCCTGATCCTGGGATGCCCAGTCCTGCGCACCCTTGATCTCAGTGGCTGCAACAGTCTCTTCACATCAGGCACTCTGCTGGCTAAGCCTGAGACAGCACAGTGTAGCCGAAAGGCATTGAGTGGCCTTCGTGACCTTAACCTGGCTGGCCTACGGGACCTGACCTCAGCTTCAACCATCTCAGTGGCTGTGTCCCCAGCTTGGAGTGCCTCTCTTTGGCTTATTGCCGCCTCAGCTTTGAGTTAGGCCCAACCCAGAGCCTTATCGGCCTTCAGGTATCCTCTCCCAGCTTTCTTTCAGCAACCTACTGCAATTTGTTAAGGAGCAAGCTGGCAGGCTGCGTGCTCTAGACCTCAGTGACACTAGCTTGCCACCTGAGGCCCTACAGGCTCTGGGCCAAGTCACTGGGCTACAGCTAGAAGAGCTGAACTTGCACAGCTGCAGAGACCTATCCACAGAGGCTGTGGCCACCTTGTGCTGCCAGCAGCCAGGTCTTACCTCCCTGGACTGCAGTGGCTGCTTAGAACTGACTGATGGGGCACTCTTGGCTGTGAGTCGAGGCCTACGACACCTGTGACGCCTGAGCCTGGGGAAATTGCAGTGACAGACTGATGCAGGGTGTACAGCCCTGGGGAGCCTACAGGAATTTCAGAGTCTGGACATGGCTGAGTGCTGTCTGATAAGCGGTCAGGAACTGGCCCAGGTCCTGGGCTCAGTTCACAGAGCTCCATCCCCAACTGACCTCCCTCAAGCGGGCTTATTGCTCTTCACTGAAGGTGAGCTTACTTTCCCTCTATTCCTATCCAGGGTACCTGGGGGAGCTGAGTCTATAGCCCTAGGGAGAGTTACCCAGTGTTTGTGTCCCAGGCAAAGTAGTTGGAACTGGATTTAGGGCACGGTTCTAAAGAGGGCAGGAGCTTAGACAGACGATGTGATGGCTGGCACACACCTCTCTAGAGTCCCTGCTGGCCTGGCTCATGAAGTGATCCTATACCTCACAAGAATGTTGTAGAAGGAGGAAGCCTGGAGAAAGGGAGTGATGGAAGACAGTAGTGGGGAAGCAGGTATCAGCAGGCAGGGTGTTAGGAGGCAATGTCATTCAGGAGGAGCATCTCTTGGCTGAAGTCAGGCTCTTCATAGGGCTCAGAATTGCCCGTGGGAGGCATTCCTGTCTGAGAATGTGTTGGTCCCTCTTTGGTGAATTATTCTTTCAGCCTGTTACCATGGCAAGAGCACTCCTAGCCTAAAACCTGTCTCAGCTTGGTTTCATGGCAAGCAACCCTTCTCCTGCTCACTCCTTGCCTACCGGTATCTCTTAGCTGCTCTGCCAAGACCCATGTTCTCAGGCTCCACAGCTCCCTCAGCATCTTTCTACAGCTAGATCCTCTTCTCTGCCCTTAGCTCCTGCTGCCCCCACCCAACTTCTGGCAAATGTCAGCCCTAACACTTCTGGTTCAAGATCTAGAGGAAGCACATCTGATTGGTTCAGCTAGGGTCACTTGTCCACCCCTGCTCCAATGGGTTGTAATGGGGGTGGGGGTTGCCTCAGTCTATCCCTTCAGCAGGGTTGAGAGCACAGCAAGGCAGGTACCCTAGAACTGTCTGTCCACATCCTTCCTTACACTATTCATAGTGTTGACCTCTTTCAGCAATCTCCTCGAGGTCACCCACCCTGTTCATTCCAAACTTTCACAACCAGCACAGAGACTATGTTGCTTCCCTCTTTGGGCCCTCTGGAACAGGAATGTCATTTAGACCCTTGCTAGTGATCCCTGTCAAACCTAGTGGCACAAACTGCTGCCCCTCCCATCTTCCTCCTAGGATGCCTCGGTGCTCTCCATGATCCCCCAGCACTGGGCCCAAATCTCAAGGTGCTAGACTTGTCCTCCTGTGTGGTCCTCACTAACCAGACCATGCAGGCCATCTGCACTTACCTCACCCACCTCTCAGTCCTGCGCCTAGCTTGGTGCAAGGAGCTCCAGGACTGGGGGCTTCTGGGACTGGAGGAGCCAACTGAGGAGTCTGCACTAGGACCCCAGGTATGAGATCCTTGAAGTTAGGGGAGGTAGCACCTGTGCTCAGCTTCCCATGCCCTTCCTGAGTCTTTGTCTAAGAGCATTTAAGGCAAAACTCAACAAGTAGGAGTTTCTTCCCACAGCTACAACCAGAGCTGGAACATCAGACCCCAAGCCCTCAGGAGCCCAATCCTGAGGTACGAGGCCCCTCTCTGCTCATGCTTCAGGCCCTTCAGGAGTTGGACCTCACAGCCTGCAGCAAGCTGACTGATGCCAGTTTGGCCAAGCTAAGGGTATTGTGGCTGGTACCTGGGGATTGGGCCAACCCACTTTTTGCTTGGAGCCCATTTTTCATTGGCTTCTGGTCACTCCCCTGACTGGAGGCAGGAAACTTGGAAGGGGCCCAGACTCTGGGTTCCAGTGCCATTCTCTACCCCTGTTCTTGCAGGTACTCCAGTTCCCTCAGCTGAGGCAGTTGTCATTGAGCCTGTTGCCAGCACTCACAAGCATGGGCTTGATAACTGTGGCCAGGGGCTGCCCTAGCCTGGAGCACTTGGTCCTGAGTCACTGCAGTCACCTCAGTGATGAGGGCTGGGCCCAGGCAGCCAGGCCCTGGCCGAGGCTGCAGCACCTCAACCCGTCCAGTTGTAGTCAGCTCACAGAGCAGTGTCTTATGACATTGAGCAGTTGGTACAACAGTGTATGGGCTGGGTTTGGGTTCCCACACTGGGTCAGACACTCATTCAGTAGCCTCCCTACAGAACTCTGGATACCATTGGGTAGGCATGCAAGCAACTCCGGGTGTTGGATGTGGCCATGTGTCCTGGTATCAACATGGCAGCTGTCAGGCACTTTCAAGCACAGCTGCCTCAGGTGACCTGCATCCAGTCCCAATTTGTGGGAGGGGCTGACCTGATCCTAACGCTTTCAGGCCAGGTCAGTAACTATCCCTCGAGCTCTGCTTCCTTCACCAATGTAGCCCCAGACCAGCCCTCTGAATCTGAAGTTTGCCCCAGTGCCTTTTGCCTCCCCCTGCTACAGAACCCTTTTCATAGATTCAAGATAGTACCAATCCAGGGCATGTCCAGCCCTAGTGTGCCCCACAGCTAGGCAGCAGCCTCTTTCTAACTACATGTCACTGCCACAGGCCCTGTTCCAAAGGTCAGACCCATAGGTGAGCTGGACTTGGTACTGGGGGAGCTCAGACCCTGTGCTTCCAGCCAGCCCACTTCTCAGACCTAAGACCTGTGTTCTACCTGCTCCCTAGGCACACACTTCACCCCTCATAAGCACTGAGCTTTTGTAGTCAAGCCATCAACATCACTGTAAACTCAAGATTAAAAATTCTAGATCTTACCTCTTCCTTTGACATTCTCAGACTAAAGGGCCCCTCTCTCCCCTATTTCAGTTAACTCAAGGACCCTCAGATCCCCCACACACTGGCCTTAGGATGGTCCCATGCTCTGGGTACGGGACTCCACTAGGTTCTGGTTTCTACCACATGGGAGGAGACTCTAGAGACCTGAAGGCCTCTTCTAGCAAACGACCCCCTCCTCCCCACATGCCCTTGTGCAAAGGCATTGGTCCCAGTCAGGCCTAGGAACAACTGGTTAATGATGCCAGATTCAATGTGCTATTTCAAGAAGAGGTGAGAAATAGGGGTAGGAGGGTCATGGGAGGTCATATAGTTCAACCGTCTAAACAGTGCCAATGACTTCTCAATGGCAGCTCTCAATCTAGTGGACCCTCTGTGCACCCTACACTTTGTCTATCTACTTGTCACTTCTAGAAGCAGCTAGCCTGTGCTGCAGTCACTTGCTTCTTGTGGTAATTCAGAGATGTCAGTGCTCTCCCAGTCACCAAACAGGCTATGGGGGCAAATAAGCCAACAGGCAGGGACAGTGCAGGGTATGCATGAATAGAGAAGCAAGCACCTGGGACCAGGAGCCTAGAGCAGCAATGAACTTAGGAGGTTGAAGGAACAAATCAAGGCAGTGAAAATGGGCAGAAGGGAAGACAATCCAAGGCAGAAGACACCACGGAGGTCAGATGGACAGACAAGCTAGTGCTGGTATGGAGGGGAATATGTAGGCCTTGATGCAATACAGAGAGGATGCTGGCTTGGACCATGCACCAAGAACCCTGCAGACCACAGGCATTCAGATGGAAGCACTAAAACATGCAACCCATCCAGCTCAGTCAGTGCTCAGTCATAACAACCATGGCAGTAGGACAATAGGGAGACATTGAACAATATAGGATATATGTATGAGTATATAATTATATCCAATTTGTAGTGTTGGAGTGGCAGCTATTGCGATGATCAGAGAGCAAAACCCAAGGCCAGAAGTCAAGAGGCTTTTGCCAAGATGGTGGTATGAACAAATAACTGAAAACACTAAGAAGAAAGAATTGACTGTACTGGGACACTGCATCTAGGATCCCTGCCCTGCCCCCCATTTCCACCTTGAACTCAATAGCAGATTGCTCTAAGTATGGTAGCAAGGCTGTGCCCAGTCACAGACATTCTGAGGATTGAAGTGTAGTTAGTTTGTTTTCTTTTTTTTTGGGGGGGGGGGTTCACGGTAGGGAGTACATGCTCCACCAGCACATTCTCCAAAGGAGATGTCATTTCATCAGTTTTCAAGATAAAACATTGATGCCTGGCACTGTTAAACAGTATTTAAGGAGTAATGTGCGGCATGTAGAAGTCAGGGTAGTGGCAGTTTTCAGCCTGCCTTGTGAGTCCCCTGGGTTGCTGAGTCTTTGCCTTAGGTGTTTGAAGTCTGTGTCTACTGCCTTTAGGCTTGAGGTGTTTGGAGTCTGTGTCTACTGCCTTTAGGCTTGACTGCTATCTGGAGCCAGTATGCCTCACCACTTCTGCCCCTAGGGGCTCTGGCTTATCAGTGCTCATGACTTCACAAACAATCCTAAATTAGGTTTAATTTTATTTATTTTTTTGGTCTATTTTGAGACAGGGTCTCCCTGTAGCCGCAGCTAGCCTGGAACTCACTACATAGATCAGGCTAGCCTTGAACTCAGAGATGCACCTGCCTCTGCCTCCTGAGTGCTGGGATTATGTCTGGCTCTAAATTGGGCTTTAAATTTCCATGTTCAGATCTGCCCCTTTGGAGTTGGGAACCTTCTCTTTAGCAAAAAGCAAGCTTTGCATCTCTTCCTTTCATGTTTTTCATTAGAAGCCTCTGAATCTCACAGAAGATAAGGGGCAGGGCTAAGCATGGTTGAGAACTGAGGTCAGCTTGGCTTCCAGACAGGTCCCTGTTAATGGTGCTCAGGACAGCATCCATTTGGGGCCTTGCTTCCTGCCCTGATGCTTGTCAACCTCTTCTTTGGCTGGTACCCCAGGTGACAGACCATCCTGTTCTTCACATCTAGCACTGAGGACTCAGACTTAAAGAAGGGCAACAGTCTCCACCTATTCCTACTCAGAATACCAAGGTTCCAAAACGGGTTTGTGATCCTGCCTGATGCCCTGTCTCATTTACTAAGCTTGAAGGCAAACTGTCCCTGTCTATCAGTAGGCTTAGCCCACAGGTTCTGAGCTGGTTGGACACATATTTTTATAGGCCATGCTGACTTTATTTGTGCTAGAGACTCTGCTGGTCAGGTTGTCTGTGCTTCTCTGCCCTCCTTTGTGGTGCTGCAGTGGTAGCAGCAACTGTGGCCCATAGCCAACTTCAGTCAAGGCTCAGTGATGCTGTAGTCATAGCAGAAGTTGAAGTTGGTAGGGGGTGGGGGTACTGGGGGAGGATTCTCAGGAATGGGCACATTCTCCAGTTCCAACAAGCGCAACTTGGTCTCCATAGTTAGCAGCTGCTCCAGGTCCAGCCGGGTCTGTTCACTGCCCATGGGGCTGCCCAGCAGGGCACTCAGCCCATCTGTCCACAGGTGGAACTAGAGATGGATGAGGCCAGCTCTGTGAGGGCCTGCCCATCTGTTCCTCCTGCCCATCTGCCTAACTCAGCCTGGCTCAGACACTTACATCCCGCTTGGAGGGGGCAATGAAGTTGAGGTAAGCTTCCTTTTCCCCATGGTCATAGCTGATGGAGAAAGCCAGCTCATAGAGGTCCTAGCAATGCAGGGAATGAGGACAGTGAGCAGGGGACAGACAGAGACAGGTAGGTAGGAAGGAGCCTCTAATCCCGATGCACTCACCTTGTTCTGCTTTCCAGAGCCCTTCTCCCGGACATGGGGGCAGTCCTTGCCCATCAGGAGTGTCCTAATGTCTGCCACAGGGACTGCAGAAAGAAGAATGGGCTGACCACTGTGGCTCAAGGCTGGCCCATTATATGAGTCATCTGGGAAGAGGGAGAGTAGGTGTAGGAGGTCTAGCCTTGCCCTCCTTACGCTGCTCGGGCAAGCTCTCTAGGGTAGGTGGGTTGTCACCCTCCTCCACATCTCCATACTGCAGCACTTTGTGGTTGGGTGACAAGCAACAGAACCACAGCTTGTCTACACAGAAAGGGGAAGAGAAAGGAATGATGAGAGGGGTTCTGGTCCCAGCCCACATCCCCCGCCCTTCCTGGGTTCATTCAGAGACCCTGGCGCCTCCGACTGCTGATCTTTCGGAAAAGCATCCCCTCACAGAGTCGGAGCAAACGCTGCTGGCGGATCAGGCCAAGAAGTTCTGGCTTCAGCTTCTCCCGAAGCTCCCTGATTGGGGAGTATGAGTCATTAACTGGGATTGACCTGAAGCATGGCCCACAAGGCACTGGGGAAGGTGGGGGCTGAGAATGGGGACACTACTAACTTACAGTATGGGAGGGGCCAGTGTGCCCTCCTGGTGTAGCCGTTCTGTCTGCCGCAGCCTCAACACCTCCCCATAGGTAAGGGCGTTCACTTTGGTTCGGAAGAGCTCCAGGGAGGTGGGCTTTAGGGCCAGTGTGCGGGCCAGCTGCTCCCGTACCACCTGCATTACCTAGGACCACCCTAAGCTCAGCTTGGGGACTGAGCTCTAGATCCCTTCCCAGAACAGCCCTTGCCCTGGCTTTGCCACTTCCACCCCACCCACCTTGTCAAAATCCTCCTGGGTTGCCCGCATCTCCTTCCAGGTCTTATTCAGCAGCTGGATAGCCACACAGAAGAGCTCATGGAAACTCTGGTCTTGGCCGTAAAACATGGGTGAGAAGTCCTGCGCTGTCTCGGAACCTGGAGCAGGGGGGCAGGAGGGGCTCAGGGAGAAATGTTTGTAGCCCCTGGCCCTCTCTGCCCTTCCGTCCCTTGTCCCCAGATGCACTGGGTCCAGCCCCACTCACAAGGCTCCCCAACTCGGAGCAGCTCACACAGCAATACCGTCAGCTGGATGCTGCTCCGGGCAAAGGGGCACTCATGCTTGTCCTCCCGGCTACTGTTTTCCAACACGAACTGAGGTGGTGAGAATAGAGCATGGTAACACTCAGCTCAGCCCATGGAGCCCCTGATGAAGTTGGGCTGTCGCCATCCACCCTGCCCCATTCTGTCACTAACCCGGCTGTATGCATTGGGTGCATGTTTGGAGAAGTAGAGCATGTTATCCAGGGCTAGCAGACCAGGGGGCACACGTTCCAGGTCATGTGCTGGGTTGCTGTTCTAGGGGTGGGAGAGCAGGCAGTTCAGGAGGGGCTATAGTCTTGGAACAACCATAGCATGCATGGAGGCTTGGGTGGGAACTAAGCTCGGGGTCACTCACGGAGAAGCCCAGCTTTCGGAACTCTTGGACACAGAGAGACCGGCGACGGTCAGCACTTGGCCCTGTGCCCAGGGACTCCCCCTCTGATTCAAAGGCAGCCTGGCGCAGGGCCTGCAGCTGTTCCCGCTGCTCCTGAAGTTAAGGAGGGGCATGTCAAGATCATAGATTCAAAGCTAAATTCTAGGCAACCCCTTAGCCTGTGTACCCCAAAGACAAGCACCTGGCTGTAGGAATCAAGTGGTGTCCTCATGCGTGGCTCTAGCAGCCCCAGTGTAAGGGACTGCAGTATGTACAAGTGATGAGCCATCTCGTCACCCAGGGGTGCTACACTATGGATGATGTTCTGGAAGATAGGCAGGCTGTGAATATGACTCACTGGGAAAGGAAGACAGAGGAGGGGGGTCTTCCTGCTCTGGTCCATCCTACCTTGTAGATGAACTGGCGAAGATTCCTCTGCCATAGGTAGTCAAGCATGTGCTGCAATGTGTGGGAAGGGGCTTAGATGATCTTGTTCCAGACTGCAGCATAGCACCAATCTCAGCAGCCACCTGGGGCAGAACACTTACCTTACGTTCAGTGAGGTTAGCCCCCTGTAGCAGGGCTGTCAACAATGCCATGGCCTTGGTTTGTAGCTGTTGGTTCATCCTATGGCAAGAGGAGGAACAGGCTGAGCTGCACATCTGTGTTCTAGCTCTTTTCCCCTAGCTGTACTGCCCCCTATAGGCTTACACCTGCAGGTGCACCAACAGCCTGTCCAGTGGCACCTCACTCTTGACCAGCAGGCCTAGAGCAGGGCTGCTCAAAGTCACACTCTCCAGCAGCCCAAGGGCCAAGGGCTGTACAGAGGCATCCATCAGGTTCATGTTCACATAAGAGACCACCTAGGAGGAGCAGAGGGTGTCACTACCATCCGTGAAGGTCAGATCTTGGCCCTCCCCTGGAAAAGGCTACCCACCTTCTTGACAAAAGGGATGCTGAGCGTCTCCCAGGACACCACACCATGTTCCATGAGCTCCAAAAAGGCCTTCAGACCAAGAGCCAGCACCTCCCCTAGACTACAGAGGACATCCGGAGATGAGTAGGACCAGACTAGGATTCCTAAGCCCCACTATGTTGCCCAGCCCACCACAGCCCTGTGCTCACTCATCCCCATTCTCAATGATGGTGCTTAGTCTCTGAAGCCCATCACGGCTGATGACTTCCTGGGCAAAGGTCATGTCTGAAGCCAGCAGAACCAGGTGTCTCAGGGCTTCACAGCGCCCTTCACGACTTGTACTCTGCAGCCTACCCAGTAGCTTCTCAGCCTCCAGGTCCTGACAGGAGCGGGAGCAGAGCAGAGATGTAGGCACAGGTGTTACCAAAGGAGCTGGAAATGTGAGGACCTGGGTGTCCACTAGGTGGGGCACTAAGGGGCTGGGGTGGGGGGGGCCTCCTGACCAGCAAGCAGAGGCCACTAGGCAGGAAAGGGACCTAGCAGAGGGGCAGGGCAGGAGACAGCAGGGTGGAAAGGGACATTACAGGGGCAGTGCTGAGGCACAGGATGCTGCCATTCTTGATCTCCATGCGATTCTGGAGAAAACAAAGGGGAGCAAGTCAAAGAGGGCTTGGAAATGGTCAACTGGGTCATTGGTTGGGGGCGGAGGTCAGTAAAAGGGCTCACACTCAGAGCAGGGAGAATGAGTTTACTGAATCAAAGCCAGTAGGTTAAAGGGATCTTATGGTGGAATGTGGGGCTAAGAGGGGGCTCACATTCTCAGTGATGTATCTCTTTTGCCCATCAGCAAACTGCAGGGCATAGCGCTCCGAGTGAGTCAGGCTCCACCTGCGGGGCACAGAGCTTAGGGAGGGAAGTCCAGGGGTGCCTCTTCCACCTGATCCTCCCCCACTTTTGCCCTCAGCACCATGGCACTCACGCGTCGCACACCTCCTTCAGCACAGTGGCCAGGGGCTTTGCCTGCAAGTGAAGCTGTCACTCAAGGGGCCAAGGTAAGGAGGAGTTGGTGGGGGGAGGGGAAGCTGACCCGAGGGAAAGGTAACTCGGAGGTAGGAGGTAGGGGTCAATTTGATGGAGGGCGGACAGGGTGACCTGGTCTAGCTGGATAAGCTGTGGGATGGCGTCAGGCATCTGGACGGCAATCTTCACCACGTTCCGCGGAGGCGCCATGGTCCAGCCGGCTGTGGGCGCTTTCCACCTACCGTGCCACCTCCCGCCGAGGGGATACCTGGTCAGGGAGGCGGTCTAGGAGGGTGTCCCTCTGTCCAAAACGTGGCTCCAGTGACCCTTACAGCTCAGCCCCCACTACTGGCCTGGCTCTGTGGCCTTCCCAAAGGAGCCCAGGTTAGTTCCGGGTTAGTTCCAGGGGCCGGAGGGGAGGACCGGGCCTGCCCTGGCCCGCCCCACCCCCGCAGAGGCGGCCTGGCCCCGCCCCACACCTAGGTGTGGCAGAAGGCTGGGAGGACAGGCAGCCTACAGCAGCCACACCTCCCATTCCAGTAAAGTGGCCCACCCACTCCCGCTAACCATCCAGCAGTCCCAGGGAGGGGCCCCAAAGAACCAGATCGGAGATAGCCTTAGGCATGTCTTTATTGACTTGGATGCTGTACAAATATTACAATTTCCTTTTGCTGAAAAAAGTATAAAAATAATCTTTATATAGGAATCCATTGTTACTGTTAAATCTTTCTAAATCTCTGCAAATGGCTCTAAATGAGGGAAGTGAATAAATGGAAGTGAAGTGGGTGGGTTTGGGGCATCAGGAGGCTGGGCCAATCTTCTGGGACCAACCAACAGATTCCTAGGGAGATACCTCAGTTCCTTCTTAACACCCCCTATGCCCATCCCCAGGATCTGCAGGGCTAAGGGCCCAACAGAAAGGTGACACATGAAAGTTCCAGAAGCTCAGGGTGAACAGGTAGAAAAGGAAGTTGGTAATAGCTAGCAAGCACTCAGCTCCACACCACCCTTCCCTCCTTGGGAGAAGAGTGTCTGGTGAAGCAGGGCAGTGGGCTGGACAGCTGCCCTATAGGTGGGCCATGTGCCACTAGGTGGCAACTAAGCCTGGCTCGGAAGGCTCCAGAAAAGAAAAGGCAAACACTTTGGCTCCATATGGAGAGGGCTGGGCCCTTTTCCCCTGCTCTGCCAGCACAGCACAAATGTCAATGCAGGACAGGGTAGCATGGCCAGAAGACTGAGCAATGGGGGAAGGCTGGGTAAGCCAGGAGTCTGGGGTTCTCAAGCTGTGAGGAATATGGTGGGGAGAGGTCCTAGCTGGCTCCCAGGCCAGTCTGGGTCCCAGCCACACAGGTCATGTTCCTGTCAGAGGTTGAGAACAGGCACATCAAAGAGATCACAGACACCTTCACTCTCGTCCAGGTTGTAGATGTAATCGTGGTCTCCAGGGGGTGGAGAAAGTCGGAGGAGGGGGGCAAACACTGCAGAGAGCATAGGCTGAGGTGCTGGTCTAAGACCCCCAGCAGCCACCCAACCCCTTTCTCAAAGCTACCCCCATCTTCCTGGGCTACCCACCTTCTGAGGACATCAACTCTTCCAGTAGTTCTGAGTTCGTACGCTCTGGGAATGAAGATAATTCATTTAGATCTGACTGTTGCCTCTCTACCCACCAATGGGACCCACATACATGCCCATCAGGACCTTTACCCTTTTTCTAGGGTACCTAACACACCATAAGGGCCTTAGAAGGGCACTCAATGAGATCCTTAACCCTCCCCCAGCCTAAGGGAGGAACACAGCCTACCTCGTGTGGGGTCAAAGATTTCTGACAGCTCTTTGGGGAGATCCAGAACTGAAAGAGAAGAAAGCCATGCTCAGGAGGGAGGTCCAGCTGGGTCCCACCATAGTCCCTACCTTCCTTGGGTCCTACACGCCTCAGCCCCAGGGCTCCACAGAGCTGAGGAAATGGAGGCCCTGCCCCAGGTATAGCTGGTCTTGTCTGCTGACATAAGTTCCTTAGAGCTGAGCCCAGGCTACCAGAGGCCCATTGCAGGTGACAGTTATAGTCTTAAGTCAGAGGCACTACAGAACTCAAATCCCTTTCTGAGCTGAGGGTGTACACACTAGCAGAAGATGCCCCATCTACACCAACCTTTGCTTAGTGCATGCTCTGGATCAGGCTCAGAGATTACAGCCTGGGCTAGGACATGTGGCAGAGGTGGAAGACACTTTAACAGAAGAGGATAGTGCTACAGTGTGATGAACCTCCTATAAACCTTTGATTGGGAGGACACGGGGAAGCAGAAGAAAATGAAGCAGAGTGGACTATGAGGGATATTATATGTAGGGCTTAGAAGTTCAGATTTTTGGGGAGCCACTGAGATGGGTCAGCAAGTAAAAAATCCTTATTAGGCCTGACAACCTGAGTTCAATCCCCAGAACCCATGTAAAGGCGGAAGGTGAAAACTTCACACATATACCACAGCATACACGTACATACCATATACATACAATAATTTTTTTTAAAAAGGGTCATCCCCCCCTCAATGTGACTTAAAGAACTATTTTATTATTATTTTATTACTTTTTGGTCTTTTGAGACAGGGTCTCCTTGTAGTCCCAGCTGGCCTGGAACTCACTATGTAGACCAGGCCAGCCTTGAACTCAGAGAGATTTGCTTGCCTCTGCCTCTAAGAGCTGGCATTAAAGGCCTGTGCTGCCACACCTGGCTAAAGAGCTATTTTTAAAATATTTTATTTTTATTCTATGTGTATGAGTGTATTGCCTGGATGTATGTAAGTGCACCCGTGTGATATCATGCAATGCCCACGGAGGTCAGAAGATGGTGTCAAACAGATTCTTCTGGAAATGGAGTTACAGATAATTGTTAGCTACCATGTGGATGCTGGGAATTGAACCCAGGTCCTCTGTAAGAACAGCCAGTGCTCTTGACCACTGAGCCACCTCTCTAGCCCAGGGAGTTTTTTTTTCAATCATTTTTAAAAAAAATTTTAATATCTACATGATTAGAAGAAGCATTTCACTACAGCTTTAACATATTCAGTAACACACTCCAAAGCAAGAGTACATCTCTTTCACAAGTGGCTGCAAGTTTCTAGGTTCACAGTTGAATTAATACAGTTATATATTATTGAACTCAGTATAAGCCCAGGGAGTTATTTTTTAAAGATTAAAAAGATTATGTGCCACCGGGTGTGGTGGCACACGCCTTTAATCCCAGCACTCGGGAGGCAGAGGCAGGCGGATCTCTGTGAGTTCGAGGCCAGCCTGGTCTCCATAGTGAATCCAGGACAGCTGGGGCTACAGGGAGACCCCTGTCTCAAAAAAAAAAACCAAAAAAAAAAAAAAAAAAAAGTGAGCCTGCACGAGAGTGTATGTAAACCTCATACATACACTACCCTTGGAGGCCTGAAGAGGGCATCAGATTCCCTGGAACTAGAGTTACAGGGGGTTATGGACCACCATGTGGGTGTTAGGAATCAAACTTGGATTCTATGGAAGAGCAATAAGTGCTCTTAACCACTGAGCCATCTCTCCAGCCCCTCAGGGAGCTAATTAAAGGTACTCTTTACTGCTGTTGCTGGTGACTGAACCCAGGTCCTCATGTAGGCTTAGAGAGTACTCTACCACTGAGCTGTATTCCCAGCCATACTTATAAACTGAGAAATGCCAATCAGGATTACAGTTCAGAAAGATCATTCCATTAGTAAGGGTAAAGAGAAGGGTGCCTTTAAGGGACTTACCAGGCAATGGACCCTGCATGCTATAATACCAACCTGCCAGGCAAGATGAGCCTGTTGGTGCAACAGTGTCATGTCTATTATGGAGAACCAACTGCTTGCTTGGTTTCTTTCTTTGTTTCCTTTTTTTTTTGATTTTTATCTATATGAGTGTTTTGCCTGCATGTATCTAAGTGCATTTATTGCATGTATGCAGTGCCTGCAGAGGCCAGAAGAAGGTGTCCAACTCCCTGGAACTGGAGTTATGGTCAACTATAACTAGATGCCATGTGAGTGCTGGGAACAGAATCTGGGTCCTCTGCTGGAGCAGTGGGTACTTTTAACCACTAAGCTATTTCTCTTAAATAGGATTTGACTCCACAGGAGGAAAGTCATGTCTGGTACTGTAAACCTTGTCAAAAGTTCATAGCCAGGGAGGACAAAGGCTCTTAACAACTATTGTTTTGCTAAATGGACATGCTGTCAAACTGCCTCTGAATGTGTGTGTGTGTGTGTGTGTGTATTTTTTTCTGGAGATGGGGTCTCACTATGTAGACCAGGCTGACCTCAAACTCACAGAAATTTGTCTGCCTCTCAGATGCTGGGATTTGCCTCCTAAATTTTTATGCTTTTACCTTGATCAAAGAAGCTTCTTTTGCAGTAGACAGCAGTCAATGCAGAGATTCAACTAGTCGAAGTGTAGAGAATAAGTGACTGTTGAGTGCTTAGCCTTAAATGGGACATTTATATCAACCCTCCCAAGGCTCAGGGAATTACCAAGGAAGAGGGACTGGAAAGAATTTATGAGCCAGAGGATGGAGAGGAGTGCTATGAAATGCTATCTTTGGCTATAATATGGCCTCTGTATTCATGAACTCACAGCAGCTATGGTTACCTGCATACAACCTATACAAGATTAAGCCAGTCAATTGACCAGGAGAGGGGCTCGTGAGCTCCACCAGAGTAGCTATTGGCAACTGATTGCTGCTGGGAAAAGGAGTGTGTTTTTCCTTTGGGGATGGGGCCACTGGTATGTTGCCTGTGATAGCTGACTTCATAGTGCATTCATTAGTGCATGCAGGCAGCGCTAATTAGACTGAATGGGTTAACAACAACAACAACAAAAGAGGCCGGGCAAGGTGGTGCACATCTTTAGTCCCAGCACTTGGGAGACAGAGGCAGGTGCATCTCTGTGAGACTGAGGTCAGCCTGGTCTACATAGTGAGTTCCAGCCAGCTGGGGCTACAGAGAGACCGTGTCTCAAAAGAAAAAAAAAAGAACATGAAGAGGAAAGGGGAAAGTATGTGGGACCCCAGGGGAGAGGGGAGGTGGGATCTGGATTGTATATGATTAAAATACATTGTATACATATATAAAATTATCAAAGAATAAATAAAAATACTCAAAAAAAGGATGCCAAGAGTCTGGAATCAAGGTGGCTAGTAGTTATCTTGAGTGCTGAAGATGCAAGGATGGAAGATGGCTCAAGACAGACTTCACTTAGCCAATGTGAGGTGGGCAGCAGAGAAAGAACTGGAATGGTACCCAGATGTCAAGCCTGAGTGACTAGGGACAGTGATGGTAGTTTGCAGTGATGGTAGAAGCGAAAAGGCAAACTTGGGGAGGAAACTGAGTTCAACTGAGGACATGTGGGAATGAAATGTCCACTAGAGATGCAGAAGATGACTGTCAGACATAGAGGTATGGAGATCAGGTAAAAGATCTGAGTATGTAGAGGCTGGGACCCATCACCATCTCCTTGGTCCCTCACAGGTGTGGGGACCCACCAATGTTTAAGGAGGTACCAGGGAGAGATGAAGGAGAAGCCAGTGAGGTAGAAAAGCCAAAAGCTCACAGGATTAAAGACAAAGGAGCAAAAAGCCCCATCAGGGAGCAAGAAAGCGCCAGACCTACAGCTTTTAGAAACTTACAGGCCTGAGCATTATTACATCAAGAGCAGCACAGCTGCAGCACTGGGGCAGGTGATGAGGAGACAGACACGAGTGGGACAGGGACTATTTTTCAAGGGATCTAGACATAGAAGATAAGAAAAGTGAGATGACTACCTAGACGAGCAAGTCTCAATTATAAGGCTCAATGATGTTCCAAGTGATGGCAGGCAGGGATTGAGTGAGAGCCAGGAAGTTCCAGTAAGGGGGCAAAAGGCACCAGCGCTGACCCTGAGGCCAGGCACCCTTGTCTGGCTGGTAGAGAGCTAGAGTTGACAGGAAAGCCACTTTCCAGTTCCAACTCTGTGTCTGATGTAGCACCAGACTGAGCCTAACTCACCACCTGTGGGGTCTGCCTTGATGGGCTCAAAGGAAGTAGAAGGGTTGGGTCCAGATGAACTGCTGCTATTGCTGCTGCTGCTGCTGCTGTTGCTGCTGTCCAGTAGGGCAGAAGACTGCAGTGGTCTGGTGTCCAGTGCTGTCAGGCCCAGCGGGATTGAGCGGAGCTCACCATTGTCCTTGTTTTCAGTTTCAGGGTCACCAATCACTGCAACCATATCCCCAAACACAATCATATTGGGGCAGGAAGTGGGTCCTAGAACTTGACTGAACTAGATCCCATGGCGAGGAACACCACAGTACTGGTACCCAGACTTAAAAAAGAATTAGCTACTTCCAGTCACCCAAAAAATATTCTGGAAAGAGTCACTGAGGGAGATAGAGCACAAGGCCTAGGAGAGGAAGCTTCATGAACCACATGGGTCCAAGAGGGGCTACCGGGGCACATGGGACACTGGCAGCTCTGGGATAAACGATCCCTCACACAGTCAAAGCTTCCTTGTTAAAAAGTGCATATTCAAAGCTGGCAAGGGGGCACTTGTGGCCAAGTATGACAACCTGAGTTTAATCCATGAAATCCACATGGTAGGACAGAACCAAATTCCTCAAGCTATGCTTTGACTTCCACATGCATGCTGTAACATTCCCCACTCCCAATAAATGATAAAAAATATTTTAAAAGGGCATATTCACTGCAATACTAAGGGAGGCTAGGTAGGGACTAGGGAAAGGACAACCCCAGCAGTCTCTTCTAGTTCAGAGTACAATACTCTCTAATGCAGGTACTCCATTGTGCGATCCAGAAAATAACCCATCACACCTTACCATAGTGTCTCACCTGTGATCTCAGCTGCTGGGCTGGCCACTTCTGAGACTTCAGTGCTGCCAAGGAGAGGGGCAGGGGTGGTTAGCTGGGGACTGCCTGGACGTGAGGTTTCCTGGGGCTGGGCTAAGGTAGGCTTGTGCAGAGGTGGAGGGGTAGAAACAGCAGGTGGACTCTGAAGCAGATCCTCAGGGGGAGGCACAGGCACAGCAACAGGTGAACTCCATGCCTCCTTGTTCACCAGCAGCACCTCGATGGGGCCACTCACGCTCTTCAGGTGAATCTGGTACTTCTTCTGACCATTGGGACCCTGGAGGTGGGTGGGAGAGCATGGTGGACAGGCAGAATTACAAGCAGGCAAGGCTCCTGCCCGAGCCTGGGTCAAGGCCAGAGTGTCTTCCTCCTCAGGCTGCCCATCCTCCTAGATAACCCCAAACTCCAGGCCTCCCCTTACTACCCCACCCAGAATTTATCAGGCTTCACAGCTAGTACCCGCCCTCAGCTGACACCACCTTCCAGGGCTGAGCACCCACCTCTGGGATGGGCACCTCCAGGCTGGTGCCCGATGGGGCCCGGATGGCAAGGAGGGTGTCTCCTAGAATGACAAGGAGAATGGGTCAGGGCCCATGAGCTCAATCTGAGCTAGGAATAGAAGTGCCTCTTCCTTGGAGCAAGGCAGAAGACCAGTCTCTAAGAGACTCTACCACCCCCACAGCACCGAGGCAGAGATAAAACTCTTCTTTCTCCAAGAGCCCAGGCTCAATAACCAGGAAATCTGGGTTCAAACACATTTCTGGAGTGAGATACCTGGCCACAGGTGCCAGCTCACTTCTCAAATGATACCGATTCCTAGGAACAGATATTCTGACCAAGGCCTATATGTCCCTTTCCCAAGACTTGTCTGTAGGATTCAAGATGAAGAAGGAATGGCTCCGGCATCCCCAATGCAAATGAATTAACTACAGACTGGAAATGGATGCCACTGTGCTCTGCATACAACCATGTGAGACTGTGTACACATTATGCATACTCACTTTTCCCTCTGTGCCTCTATCATGCCCAAGAGGCAAACCGAGAGAACAATGCTGATGGAGACCCACCCAGGACTCTTGCACCGTTTTTATATTGTTGGTTTCTACACAAAGTCCCAGTAGCTCTCTCAAACTGAGGACTTACCCTGCCTGGTTTTGCTTTCAGCAGGCCCCAGGAACCCTCAAGAGATGGAATTCTCCTTGGGCACTGAACCTAATGCTCAGGGCTCTGCTTAGCTCAGTCCCACCCCCATCTCCCCCTATCCAGGCTCTGCTCACCAGCAAAGCATCTGCAGATGTCCTCATGAGTCACGTAGGCCAAGGTGTGGGGGTTAAGGAGAACAGCTGATGCCTCTCTTATTTTGCCAGATGGGAGACCATAGAGGAGACCCAATGTTTTAGCAGATGTCTGACACACAAGCCCTCAGAGAAAGTTCTGGAGCCCAAGGTCCAAGTGGGGAGGAATCACTGGCTAAGACTGGAAAAGGAAGGGCTATGAAAAGAGAGCCTGAGGTCTGAATCTGACTAGGGGCTGCAGGACCATCCACCCAAAAGGGACTGAGCCCAGAGCTCCATAGAGCAAACCCAACTGGACCAGAGGGCCCCTTGCCCACTCTCCAGAGCAGGGACTGCCGGAGGATATCAGCTGTTCTGGACGTCCTCTGTGACATTCCGGATGCTCTGCTGCACCCACACCTTGTGTTGGTCAAGTTCTTGCTCCCGCTGCTGCAGCTCTTCGATCTCTGCCTTGAGCTCAATCAACTTGTCGGCAATCTCCCGGGTATTGCAACCTGGCCCCACACCCCTGAACCGGGGGAATGAGACTGAGAGGGGCTGTTAAGAACTCAGGGTCCCAGGCCCCGGCTCACTCCTGCAGCCATCAGCCCACACCCCTGACACTTCTGGGTGGGAGACCCTACTGCCCTCCCAAACATCCTCACTCACTTCCACTGGATGCTGTTCTTGGATTTTTTCTCGATCAGACCAATACCTTCCAACACGTTGGTGATGTCGTAAATCCGCCGTTTCTGGCGCACAGCTAGGGTGTCGGCTGCCTGGAGGATAGAAGAAAACGGAGAACGCTCGGCTCCACTCTTAAGTGTACCTACACCCTGACACTTGGTTTGGGAAGGGGGTTAGCTTGGGTGCCAGCCCTGGAGTTCCTTCAAGGAACTCCAGCAGTAGGGAAGAAAAAGACCTGGCTTAGCAGCGATCGGATGCTCTGACGCTCTCTTCCCTATGCCAGCCACCAAGGACCACGAGGGCTAGCACCTGCAGCCCTGTGCCTGACACAGAGCTGACGCTCAGTGGCCTCGGTGGAATGAATGAAAACAGCACCCCCGCCTCTCCCGTGCGCGAGAGCGCACACGGATGGCGGCCGGCTCTCGGGGGACTCGGCGAGGCCGACCCGGCAGTTCCCGCTACTGGTCCGGCCTGGCCCACCATCTCCCCTGTCGCCCCTCAGCCCGGGCCGCACCAGTTTGAGGTCAAGCACGCCGTCCTTGGCCTCCTGCAGAAGCGACACGAACTTGGTGGTGAGAAGCCCCAGGCTCTTCTCGTGCCTGCTCGGGGTGCCCGGGGGCGGCGGCGCCTGTGGCCCGGCCTCCGCCATCGCGCCCGCCCGCCCGCCGCCTCCCCTGAGCCAGGCCAGGCCAGGCCGGCGGCGGAGCTACTTCCGCTTCCGTTCCTGGCCGACGGGTCGCAAGAGCCATCAACGCCACTTCCGCTTCCGCCTCGCAGCTCTCAGGGAATCTGGTACAATTCCTGTCTGCAGACGCGGACGTAAACTTTCGGGGACCATCAGCAAATGTCCAATTACCGAAGAAGACGAAAACAATTCCTAGGACAGCTAGGAGACTTGACAAGTTGTGTAGAAGGATGTGGAAGAGGTGTGTGTGCAGTAGAGGGTACCCCTGAATCTTCCTTGCCAACTTGCCCTCAAACTAATTGCCCCAGCCCCCACCCATCTAAGGAAGGGAAACCATTCTGCCTGACAGACTTAACCTAAGGGCTACCCTCTGACTTAAGATCATTCATGTTACTGCTGTCCTATTGCCTGCCAAACCAGAAGGCACTAACTATATCTAGCTTGCCCACTTCCTGCATCCCTACTCCTCTTCTCCAGCTCCATCATCATCTTTCTCCGGCCTGCACACTCCATATAGTTCACAGAGGCCAGGGGCTTTATTTACCACCACTTCTCAGCCCATGCAAAGAACTTTACCTATGTGTGAATATAAGTAAATTCCTTAGGGAAGTTCCTGACATACAAGGATTGTGTGTTTGATAGTCTCATTTATTTTTAGCCTTGTTATTATTTATTTTTTTATTTTAGGACAGGTTCTCTAGGAGACAGACTGCCTACAGCAAGTTTATTGAGAATTCATACTTATGAGAAAACAAGCAGAATTGGGCAGACCAGGGTATAGGAAGGTCTTCAGTCTGTGGTGCTAGCTCTGAAGTTGGAGTAGTCCTGAGATGTTCATGTTCAGTAAGGGTACTTACTGGGCCTTTGCACAGCAATGTTGACTCAGAATTACAAGCCTTCAGCAACCTACATTCCTGGAAGCTAGGGAATGGGAGTCTCTGTCCTGAAGGGTGGATTTCCATGGTGCACTAGGTGACTGCTACATTATCGTCACTCTCAAGAACAATATAACCTTTATAATCCCTGTCCTGCCATTACCCACCATACTTTGTCTTCACAAAAGGTGACCTCTTCTCCTCAGAGGCACATACCCTCTTCTAGGGAGGGGGGACTTCAGCAGTTTTCTTCCTGTTGTGTTGTTTGCATCCACATCCCCACACACTTCACCCTTCAAACCATTTTGAGGCCAAATCAGCTTCCTGTGTGTGCCCTGAGCACTAAGAGATCCTGGGTGAGCTGGTCAAGACTTGATCACAGGGAGTGCGTGCCTGCCCCCACCCCTTGGGAGGGTGTGCCAGCCCCCCCCATCTAAATGCAGATGCCTTTTCCTGTTGGGAATAAAGCGCCAGAGACTCAACTTCCTTCCTTTCTGCCTTAGAGAGGGAGGGGCCTTGGGGGAGAATGGGCTTTTGGGCTGGGAGTGGGAGAAATGTTTCCTTGGGGAGAGGAATTCGGCTGCTGGTGCCAGAGCAGCTAGAGTCACCCAGGCCCTGTGAGCAGTGAGGGTGTGAGGGTGTGCCCAGCTCTACAGGAGGGAGAAGGCCAATCTCAAGGCCAAGGCTGTTTGCAGAGGAGGGAGAACTGGACACCCAATCAGATCTCGTAAGTTCTGTACCAAACTGTCCTGGGCACTACAGAGCAGAAACAGGGTCTTGCAGATGGCAGATAGGCCTATTTGCATGCTCCCTCACTTGGTATCTGCAGGGGCACAAACCAGAACCCTCACAGACAGACCAAAGCCTCTCAGGTGGCCCCCTCTATCACACCTGTCTTCCTCTTCTTGAGGGGACTGAGTTAAGAACCTTGTTCTTTCTCAGAGGGGCTAAGACAGAGACAACAGCCCAAAGGAGCATCCACTCTGCCTGATCTACCCCAGGCTCTTGTCCCCACTCCTTACCTTGTCTCCAGCTCCTCCAGGCCCACCATGGACTCAGCAGCCAAGGATGAAATACAGCCCATACTTCTCCCTGGTATGACCCTTCCTGGCTGGGCTGGGGGGAGGATGATGGCAAGAAAGATGGAAATGGTGGGGTGGGGTTTTCCCTGCCAGGTCTGGCTGGAGTGCTATAGGATAGTGAAGAGTGGGCTGTCCTAGGCATGGGCTGAGGAAACGGAAGGGCAGCAGGTTTGGCAGCCAGAGGCCTTCTCTAACACAACTGCGTAGGCTCTTCCTGCCCAGGACCTGAGTGGCCGGAGCAGGAGAGGGCAGAGCAGCTGGCTCGGGGTGCAGCACTCAAGTGGGCCTCAGGCATCTTCTACCAGCCAGAGCAGCTGGCCAGGCTGGGCCAGTACCGTAGCCGTGAAGTGCAGCGTACCTATTCCCTGGAAGCACGCATTAAGGTGGGTGCAGGGCAGGGGAGCAGCAAAATTGGGGTGGGCTATAGGGCTGGCCAGACCTTACTGGCTACCTCTCTCCATAGTCAGTGGTGCAGTCATATTTGGAAGGTGTACAGACTGGTGTGTGGCAGCTGGCCCGGGCCCTTGAGGCTGTGCAGGGAACACATGAAGACCTGAGCCAGGCCCATGACTTGCTCCAAGATTTGGCTCAGGCCTCAAAAACCCTAGAGCCTCTGCGGGAACGAGTTGCCCAGCACAAGCAACTGCAGGCCCTGACTCAGTTGCTGCCAAGACTTCAGGCAGGTAAGTGTGCTGGGACCCTAGGCCTCAGCTTCTAACAGTCCACAAACACCCATACCAATCAGCAGCTCGGGCACTAGATGAGAGATTACATGGAGAAATGCAATCAGGGACATCCCAGAGAGTAATCCCAGCTTCAAAGAGTTTATGAAACAGTGCATATGAGCTCATCCTGGGGTTCTCAAACATGGGATGGTACATTCAGCATGGCTACTCCTTCATGTGGCTATGATCACAGTGCTTAACATATTGAAAGGGCTTGGAATGTAGCTCAGTGGTAGAGCACATGCTTAGTATGTGCAGGGCCCTGTGTTCAATCCTAGGCACACAAAATATTAGACATATATGCATGCATCAAATATATTTATATGTATAGATACATATTTCCCTAACAAGGTGGGTAACACTAGCATGTCCCCCCATTTGTCTTCCCTCTAACATTTTTTTTTAGACATGGTCTCTTTACCTGTAGCTGGCCTAGAACTCTCTATGTAGACCAGGCTGGCCTTGATCTTACAGAGATCCCCCTGACTCTGCCTCCTGAGTGCTGGGACTAAAGGCATGTGCCACCATGCCCAGCTCCCTCTAGCATTTTTTATTTCATGCTCTCTTAGTTCAAGGGTTGATTCGTGGCCTTCAAGGCCTCTAGGTCTTGGCTTGGATGCTTTCAGATTGACCTTTGTCCTATTTTACTAGTAAATAGTTACCGCTCCAGTCTCAAGACTTCAGGACCCCTTGCTGTACTCACAGCACAAGTGGGAAGACTGAGACTTAAGGCTGTCTCTGCTCCTTTATTAGTGCCAGCTGCAGTGGCCCACACGCAGGCCCTGATTGATGCCCAACAATTCTTGGAGGCATATGTGAGTTTGCGGGACCTGGAGCAGCTGCAAGAGGAGACGTGGACACCCCTAGGAGGGCTGGAGTTGCCAGTCTTCCAGGGGCTGAGCCTTCTGGCTGAGGCTCTGGGACAGGCTATAGAGGCAGCTGCAGGGGCCGCAGGGCAGCTGGCACGTGAGGATCCAGCCTTGCTGGTGGCTGCTGTTCGTGTGGCAGAGGTGGAGGCTGAGCGTACAATGCCCCTGGGGCAGGCACCCCGAGACTGGAGGCAGAGATGTCTGCGGGCACTACAGGCGGGTCTGGAACGGGTCCATTTTGCAACACCTGTACTACCTGAGCCAGGTGCCCTGGCAGAGTGGCTGGAGGCTCTGCAGGTAACCCTGCCTGCTGAGATGGCTACTGCTGAGGCACTAGTAGCACCCTGCTGCCCACCACATTACAATGTGGTCCAGCTATGGGCCCACACCCTGCATAGTGGCCTGCGCCGCAGCGTCCAGCAACTCCTCGAAGGGCCTGAGCTGGGAGCTGCTGACACCTTTGCCTTGCTGCACTGGGCACTGCATGTGTACATGGGGTTAGTGTCCTTGGGGAAGTGAGAAATGGGAAAATTAGAGGCTTGGGGGGGGATTCAGTATGACACCCAGCTATCCATCCCTAGGAAGGAAATGATGGGGAGCCTGGAACTGGGACCTGAGGCTGATCTGTTCCAGCTAGAGCCCCTCCTGACCTTAGAGAATATTGAGCAGCTGGAGGCAGCATTTGTGGGCCAAGTCCAGGTGACTAGTTAGGCTACAGGACAGAGGTACTCTGCCTATGACTGTGACCTTTGTCTAGTTGAATGTCTGTCTCTGGCATGGTCAGTGCCTGCTATATCCTGCTGTTCCTTACCCCTTCTCCCAGGCAAGTGTGGCCCAGTGGCTGCACAAGGCACTGGATGGGGAAGTAGCTGAGTGGAGCCGGGAACAGGAACCCAACACAGACCCATCTGGTTTCTACCACTCACCAATGCCAGCCATTGTACTGCAGGTGGGTAGGAAGAGGGCAGCTCCCACAGGGAAAGGGGAGGTAAGCAGGGCTAGGGAATTTCTGAAGGCTTTCCCATCCCTGCCTGTAGATCCTGGCTGAGAACATTCGTGTGACCAGCCTGGTCAGTGAGTCACTGCAGCGGCGAGTACATGGCATGGCACTGTCAGAACTCGGTGCATTCCTGAGGAGGTTTGCTAATTCCATTCACAATCCCTAGCCCTGCTCTTGGACAGCTGAAGGGCTCTGAGTGAATAAGACACATTCAGTGGGGCAGGAGCTCTGGGGTAGTGATTCAGGGTGGGGGAGACAGAGTAGCAGCCCCCTCTGCCCATTGCAGCTTCAGTGATGCTCTGATCCGATTCTCCCGAGACCACCTCAGGGGAGAAGCCTTGGTTCCTCACTACGTGTCCTACCTACTAGCTGCCTTCAACCACCAATCAGCACTGAGGTACCACACATTCACTAACCTTCTGAGTTACTATAATGCATGGATCCCATCCATATTTGACCACTTTGGGCCAACAAAGGGGTTCCAATCTTATGTTACCTGAGTGTCACTTTTCTCATTAGTATTATTTGGTAAATAACAGGATGGTCTGAGAATCATATGAGATAATAGATATGAAATATCTATCACAGCCCTTCAGTAGATATCAAGGCTATAAATCAGATAATGTCTGAAGTTAAAACTATGAACAAGAAAATTCCCTCCCTCCTCCCCCTCATCCTCCTCATGCTTTGAGCCAGGGTTTCATTCTTGTAGTCCAAGCTGGCATCAAACTGGTAGAAATCTTCCTGCTTTAGCCTCCTGAGTGCTGAGATTATAGGCACGAACCACTGGGCCTGGCTATCTTCTTGTTCAGCTCTTCGTGATGGAAGCAGGGAGAACAGACATACAAGGGGAGAATTTATACTCCCTCCTGAGATTAGCTCCCTTCCCTTACGGATGAGGAAACAAAGAAACAGAATGACTTGCTCAAGGCTGTGTGTCCCATTATAGCTCCCTGAATATGCCCTTCCTAGTCTTGCTAAGTACCTGAGACTTTCCGAAGCTTAGGGCTGCCCTTCCCACCGCACGCCCGCCACACACGTGCACCACAAGGTGGCGCCAGAAAAGCTGAACCCTAGAGGGCCATGCAGGCCTTGGCCTTGGTCCTGAAGCAGTACTTTGGTCGGTCCAGCTCGTCAGTGTCTGTCCTGCAGCCCGACGGGGTAGCTTCAGCGGTCTTGGCTCCTATAGAAACCGCCCTGGACGAGTTACAGAGGAGGATCTGCCGCCTGGTATTAGAAGCACTTCAGGAGGAGCTCCAGGTGAAGCTTCCATCCCAGTCCTAATGGAGGTGGGAGGTCTCTGCTGGATCTGGATCATTTCTCCAGCCCCATTTCTGTCACCTCTTCCCCAGCCCCTGTTCTCCGCTCTGCCCTCGCGCCGGTGGTTATTGGGTTCTGAGTTGCTGGACGGTGTGTGCGAGCGGACATCGCGCTTCTGCCGAGACTTCTGGCGCGTGCGGAAGCCTGCCGTTCAGGTGGGGCGGGGAGAGGAGGCTGGGGAAGGGACAGTGCGGGTGGGAAAGGCGATCTAGAGTCACCTTTCCTGCAGCTGCTGCTGGCAGAGGCGGAGCGCACGGTGGTGCTGCAATACCTACGCGCGCTGATGCAGGGCCGCCTGGTGTGCCGCGGGGCGGACGAGCGGACCCAGGCGGCTGAGCGCCTTCAGCACGATGCTGCACAGCTTAAGGAGCTTTTCCTGGCTTTGGTGAGAGTTCACTGGGAGGGCAGACCGTTGAGACTCTCAGTAGCCGGGTGGGAGCTCAGGGCCAGCTGGAAACCCTGTCCCAACATGCTCAGGGCCTGGAGGAGAGCGCGCATTGCGCGCCGGTGCTGCTCGCGCTGAAGGGACTGCTCAACCTCCACGATCCCACGCTGCTTGGCCTCGAGGTGGCAGGCCTGCGGCAACAATTTCCCGACGTGAGGTGCGGGGAAGGAGGCCGGAGGCGGGGGCGAGAGGGGACCTGGGAGAGAGGAAGGGCCGGACTGACCACTTTGGTTGTGTTCCCGCAGCGAGGATCACGTCTCCGCCCTCTTGGATCTGCGCGGGGACGTGTCCCGAGAGCAGCGCCAGGCCGCACTCAGCTCGCTGCTGGCGGGCCCGCCGCCCTCGCCCACCACTGGCCACCGTGCACTCTTCAGCCTGGTGCCCACACGGACGCCCTCGTTGACCTCCTGCCTCCCCTCAGGCCCCTGCTCCTGATGCCTATCTGTCTGCGTAATAAAGCCACGTTCACCGTACATCTGAAACTCTGTGTGTCGGGGAACGCGGGTGTTGAAGGCCGGCGGTGATGTTTAGGGGTCCATGCACAGTGGCACGTCTAAATCTCGGATGCAGTCTTGGTATTCGCGCAGCATCCCACCTACGCAGACACCTGCCCTCTATGTGGACTGCGATCCGGAAGCCCCGTCTCCCGTGGATTACTTAAGTCTAGGCCCCCAGGTGCCCACGCGTACTCCGGGAGAACCGTCTCTGCCACCCTGACTGCCACTGTAGTGCAGTCCCTTTAGAAGCCCGCAAACTTGCGGAGGGGGTGGTCTGGGAAGATCACCCGCCCAGGGGCGTGGCGTGACGGTGGACGCCGCGCTCTCCGGCTCTGCCTAGCTCCGCCCACAGTGGGCTTCGCTGCACACCGCCGGGAAGACTGGCGTGAGTCTGCGCATCTTCGTGTGCGCGTGCGCGCTCCCGAGTGCGTGCGTCATTGGCGCTTGCTCCCAGGAGCTGGGCGGCCAGAGACCCGCTAAGAAGAGCAGGAATTGCGGACACCAAAGAAGAGCGAACAGGTGGGGGCGCGGCACCCGGACCGAACCCCCATCCCACTCCAAAGACCGAGACAGGGCATGCGACGCGACCCTTCTAGATTTACCGGAGAATTCCCCCACTCCATTGTCTTCTAGCCCCGCCCTCCATTGGGCACGCCCTTCACGCGGCCCATGCCCCTGTTATTCGCCTTGGGCACGCCCCTCTGGGAACCTTCGTTTCCCATTGGCTCTTCTCCCACATTAATATCTTTGGGGGCGGGGCTGGGGTGGGGTTCTTATTATTATGGGCCACACCTTCTCATTTGTCACCAGATCCCATCTTCCGCAGTCAGGGACCCCAAGCCTCACCCTACCGTCTTCATTCATTGTGTTAGTGTTCAGTGGTTGGGAAGTGAAGATGAATGAGACCAGTCCCTGCCCTCGGGGAGTTCAGGGCAAGGTGGGGGAACATGGACCTAGGCTCTAACAGTCTAGGGCTTCAAGATCCTGGGACCCTTTGCACGTCGGGAAGGCTTCCCGGGTGTAAACCTTCTCGGGTGGCTGGGAATCAAAGTGAGGCCTAAACGGAGCCTTGAAAAATGGTTGAGTTTGCTTACAGGGAGGCATTGGCCAGAGCATTCTTGGTAGAAGGACCTGAAAGATGAAAGAAACAGGTGCATTCTGGTAATTACAAGGAGGTAGGTGGAACGAAAGAAGGGGAAATGGAAGCACTGGCTCCGGTAGTGGCCTTGAGACCTGTATCGTGCAGGAAAGTGTACGGTTAATTGAGATGAATAAAGCCTGAGATTTGACTTCTTTTTCAAGCAGTTTGGTCACTTAAGCAAAGTGGAGGAAAGCTCCAAGGAGGAAGAGCAGGTCTAGATGGGGAAGCTAAGCCCTGGAAAGGAATCCTTCTAGTTCTTTTTCTAAAAGATGAATTTATTTGTTTGTTTGTTTGTTTATGTGTGTCTGCCAATGGTGGCCAGGAATCAAACCCAGGTTCTCTTGGAGAGCAGAAAGTGCTCTTAACCACTGAGCCATCTCTCCAGCCCTATGATACTAGTTTATTCGGTTTTTGAGCACATGTTTTGGGTCCAGCACTGTTCTGGGCCAGACACTGTTCTAGGTTCTGGGAACATAGCTGTGAACCTTGAAAAGGAGAAAACAGGTAACTAACCATCAGATACACCATACAAACATAAACTTAGCTACAGTTCCCTTTAGATGCAACCACTGCTAGAGAAAAACCATAATTTCAGGGGGGGAGGGAGGAAGCTTGTAGAGGCGTATTAGGGTCGATTTTCTTTCTTTCTTTCTTTCTTTCTTTCTTTCTTTCTTTCTTTCTTTCTTTCTTTCCTCTTTCTGTCTTTATTCTTTATTTTCTTCTTTAAGCTTTAAAAAAATTTTTTTTTAATTTTATGTGTACGAGTGTATTGCCTGCATGTATGTGAGTGCACCCATGTCATGCAATGCCAGACGTCAGAAGAGGGCTTCAGATTCCCCTGGAACTGGAGTTAAGGACAGTTTGTATCCGCTCTGTGGGTGCTGGGAATTGAACCCCAGCCCTCTGCAAGAGCAGTCAGTGCTCTTAACTGCTGAGCCATCTCTCCAGCCCGTTTTTTTTTTTTTCAGTCTTTTTGAGACAGGGTCTCCCTGTAGCCCTAGCTGGCCTGGATTCGCTATGGAGACCAGGCTGGCCTCAAACTCACAGAGATCCGCCTGTCTCTGCCTCCTGAGTGCTGAGATTAAAGGCGTGTACCACCACGCCTGGCCCTGTTTTGTTTTTTAAAATGGAGAAATAACAGCAGTGGCTCTCCAGAGAAGAGATTGATGATGCAGGAGCAAGTAGAAATGCTGGAATTGAGCCCCTGAGCAGGCAAGGGAGCTCAGTGACTGGTGTCTCCTGTCAGTCTCTGGGGATAGTGGATTGTACTGAACCCTGGCATAGAGTCAGGGGTGAGTGCTCTGACACTGGCCTTGGATGACCACTGCAAAGATGCTTCAGATAGGGAACAGGCCAGTGACTGGTTTGGATTTCCTGGTTTCCCTCTACTTCTCGAAAGCAGATTCTAATTTGGATTTAAACAGATGGTCAGGGGTCTGGAGAGATGGCTCAGTGGTTAAGAACACTTCTTGTTCTTGCAGAAGACCTGGGTTCGAATCCCAGCACCCACATGGTAGCTAACAACTGTCCATAACTCCAGCCTGAGGAGATCCAACAGCCTCTTCTGACCTCCGCAGGCATTGCACGACATGGGTGCACTTACCTATATGCAGGCAATACACGCATACACATTTAAAAAAAAACAGATGGCCCACAGAAGAGAAGGGTATTTCATGGGGGAACTGGCATAAGCAAGGTGCACTCATTCAAGCTGACTGAGGCCATATAAGCAGGATGATGTGGATGGAGCTAGGTGGAAGGGGCAAGGTGGAACTGAGAAGATGCCATCTATAAAAGGCAGCCTGTGGGACACCCCTCACCTCTGCTCCATCTAGGGAGTTGAGGCTACATTATGCCAAATCCCAGACTGGGCTATGAGCTGAGTACTAGGATTAAAAGCATGAATAGGGCCTCAATCTTTGTTCTCTAGAGCTAACCAACTGAGGGAATTCTAGTAAGTACCATCAAGGTAGGTATATAAAACTCTTTCTCTTGTTTTGCCCAAGCCCAGACTACTTGGGTAAACTGATGGAAGGAATGGACACTGAGGTCAGGGGAAGTTCCCCAGGCCCCTGGCAGCACATACTGCAAAGGTAGTATGGAATACAGGGCTTTCTCCTCTGACCACATCCACTCATGCTGGTCTCCACATACCCTTCTGTGTCCTCAGAGGTTGACCGTGTGGGAAGTTGGAGCAACCCTGCTGGATGTGACCCTCAAGACAGAATGGTGCTGGACTCAGGGGCTCAGGTGTATGAACAGGCACCTCCCAGCCCATCTACCAGTCCCTCATCTCAGTGCCATAGGCTGAAGCCCTCAAACCGAAATGGGCAACCCCTGTACCCCTGGCCTCAGTCTCTGGCTATGCCCTTGGCTCTGGCAGTTCCCTCATCACTGCAGCCCCATCCTGTGTGGCAGACCTTCTCAAAGCTGCATTTGGGGCTGCGTGGCCACATGCGTCGAAGTGAGAGCACCTACACTGTAAATAGTGTTGGCCGGCGGGGGCGGGGCAAAGTCCCACTTGGACGGGGATCTGACTCAGGTGAGGGTACTTTGCGGCCTGCAGCCTCCTTACCTCACATTGCTAAGACTCGAAAGGATGTAGGCAATGGTACCAGCAAGAGCCCCTGCATGTTGGTGGCTCTGAGGCCAACCAACATGGATGATGAGCGGGAGAAGTTCTTCCAGTCCCATTACACCTACAATCCACAGTTTGAGTACCAGGAGCCCATGCCAATGAGTGTGCTGGAGAAGTACCAGGAGGCCTCTGGACAATTCATCCATCAGGTCAGTCTAGCCTACCCGTTTCACCCTGACCCTGACCACTCAAGCATCCTAGCCTGACCAGTCACTGTTGTCCCATATACAGGCAGTTGGCATCATTGAGGCTGTCCTAGAGAAGTTTGGCACTTATGAACACTTTGAGGCTTCCACAGGGGGCCAGTTGCTGACTAAGTGCCAGATTTGGTCCATTGTGCGCAAATACATGCAGAAGGAGGGCTGTGTTGGGGAGGTAAGCTTGCCCTGTCTATAAGACCCCTTTTCTGTATGCCCCAAATCAGGCTGCCTAGCTGCTAGTCTCAGGCCCAGTTCCAGACCTGGCCAGCTGTAACCCCCATACATATCCCTTCCTTTTCCTGGCCCCAGGGAGGTTGGGAGCTGACAGCAGAAGTGGTGAAGGGTGGGTGTCCTGACCAATGTCCAGCCTGGCTGCCCTGTGGCATCAGGAGGCCTGTCTATACACTGACTTGTACGCCATGACTCAGAGCACTGCCACCCTTCAGGTTGTGGTGCAGCTGAGTGAGGACCTGCTGTCCCAGGCAGTGATGATGGTGGAGAACAGCCGACCCACGCTCGCTATCAACTTGACTGGAGCCCGCCAGTATTGGTTGGAGGGCATGCTGCGGCATGAGATAGGTCGGGCTATGGTGTCATTTGTGTGGGTAGGGATGAGAAGAGGGTGAGAGATGGGGGCAGGGCGGTGTGTGGCTTCAGTAACCCCCTCCTTTGTCGTCATCCCCCTCTTTCCTCTTGAAGAGGACAGACATTTTCATCCCTGAGCAGATCTTTCTTCCCTCTCATTAATTCGCAGACCTGCTAACTCTCTGGGCTGACCCTCATCCTTGCTTTGGGTTATCTTTCCAAGTCCTCTGTGATTTCCCTTGACAGTGAGGGCAAGACCACTGAGGCCCTGACAGGCCTGAAGGAGAAGCCTGAGGGTCCTACCAGATCAGGCAACATACAGTCCTTCCAGGGTGGGTAGAGGCCAGTCCTAGGAATAGAATTGCTTGAGGACACACCAGAGTCCAGTCTAGGAGGAAAGAAGCCAGGTTAGGAAAGACAGCACTGGACACTAGTAACCATTTCTGTCTGTCTGTCCTTACTAAGCAAGTGTTTAATTGTTCCGGGGAAAAGTTATTTTTCTTGGGGCCTTTGTGTGATTGTCAAGGGGATTCACATGGGCACTGGGATATCTGGGAAGGTTGACACGTGTTTGGTCTCTAGGAGAGCTAGGGGAAACAGAATGACTTGGGGTGCAGGAGACAGAGAAGCAGAGAGGCCTCTCCTGGACCAAGGGTTTTCACATTGCCTGGTGTTGGGTAAATTTAGCTAGGGCTTGGGAAGACTTGCCTGAGATGAATTTGGTGCATAAAAATCTATGAGCCTCTCTAGAGGTCCATGGGGTGGACATCCTGCTACCTCCTTATCCTCTCTTCAGGCACCCATTACCTACGGGGTGTGAACAATGCACGACAACCATGGCACAGTGCTGAGGGCCGATTGCAGTATGGGCTGCGGCCAGCCAACCCCACCGAGGAGGGCCTGGCCAGCCTGCATAGCGTGCTATTCCGCAAGCAGCCATTCCTGTGGCGAGCAGCCCTACTCTACTACACCATCTACCGTGCTGCCCACATGTCCTTCCGCCAACTCTTCCAGGATCTGGCGCAATATGTAAAGGATGAGGATGTGCGCTGGGAGTACTGTGTACGTGCCAAGAGAGGACAAACAGATACCTCCCAACCAGGTGGGAGCCAAGGAGCCAGGGATAATGCTTGAGTTGGGGCAAGGTGAGGGGTGACTTTGGGGTGAGGGCTCACTGTCTCTTGCTCTCACAGGCTGCTTCAGCAAGGACCAAGTGTACCTGGACGGCATCATGCGCATTTTGCGGCACCGTCAGACCATCGATTTCCCGCTGTTGACCTCTCTGGGCAAGGTGAGGGGTTGTGGGCCTACAGAAGCCCTTGCCAGCTCTTCCTTGCTCCTTGTACTTTTGCATCATGCCCCACAAAGGCCTGGATACTAGGCCTTTCTGGTGGGAGGAACTCGGGTGGAGGTAAGTAGACAAGAGGAAACAACAGTTTGGTAGCCCAGAGGAGGTGTGTGATCCAGCTTACAATGTGTGTGTAAGATAATACATTTTAAGGGCAGTGAGTATGACAGGCCAAGGGAGCAGTCAAGAAGTCCTGGGTAGGAGGCTGCAGAAATGGCCAGTGACCAAGTCTTTAGTCCTAGGCATTTGTCCTAGGCTGAGGCAAGCAAATCCAATCAGAAGCAAAGGAAAGCTAGAGGAACTTTATTACTATTATTTGATTTTTTTTTTTTTTGTCTTTTTGAGACAGGGTCTCTCTGTAGCCCCAGCTGTCCTGGAACTCACTATGTAGACCAGGGTTGCCTTGAACTCACAGAGATCTTCCTGCCTCTGTCTCCTGAGTGCTAGGATTAAAGGTGTGTGCCACCACACCCGGCTTGTTATTTGATTTAAAAAAAAAAAAGTGTATGAGTGTTTTTTAAAATTTTATTATGTTTATTTTATGCATATGAGTGTATTGTCTGCATGTATGTGAGTGTACCCGTATTGTGCAATTCCATGGAGGTCAGAAGAAGGTTTCGGATTCCCCTGGAACTGGAGTTAACGACGGTTTGTAGCCGCCATGTGGGTGCTGGGAATCAAACCCAGGTCCTCTGCAAGAGCAGTTCGTGCTCTTAACCACTGAGCCATCTCTCCAGCCTGCCTGCATTTTCCAAGTGTACTGCGTGCATGCAATGACCACAGAGGCCAGAAGAGGGCATTGGATCCTCTGGACCTGAAGTTAAGAATGTGCAATTGTTAATTGCTATGTGGGATGTGGGTGCTGGGAACTGAACCAGAGTCCTCTGCAAAAGCAAGGGCTCTTAACTGCTGAGCCATCGCCCCAGCCCTAGAGGAGCTTTAAACAAAAGTATGGCACAGATTTGCTTTAGAAGGCTCCCTCTGAGTGTTTTGTAGGAGGTGCATTGAAAAGAAAAACCTAGGGAAGAGAGAGAGAGGCAAGCCTTCCATCATCCTTACAGAATCAATGGTGGTCTAAAGCTAACTAGGCAGTGACTGTTGTTAGGAAGGGACAAATTTCTGATAGTAGACCCCCTTTTCTCAGTGGATACCCTGAGTGGGAGGGTGAGAGCCCAGGTACCCTCTCTGGGATTTGGTGCAGGTGACTGTGAAGAGGTGGGATTGGTATCAGCTGACATTCAGCAGTTTCATTTTGACTGTGGGAGATGTCTAAAAGGTACCCATGGGATCAGTTGGAGACCCATGATCGAAGGTGAGTGGATAGGCTGTACTACAGAGGAGTGCTATGTAGGACAAAGGTAAAGATGTTAGAGAAAGAGAAAAGACCAGGACAGAGGTACCTACTGTAGGTATGAATGAGGAGTAGGGAAGGAGTTGTCTCAGGAGCAAATGGCCATGAGCCATCAGCGGACTTGGGATCAGCTGCTTGAAAGTCAGGGGCTCTGACTAGCCCTGAGACTCAACATCCTCTCTCCAGGTCTCCTATGAAGATGTGGAACAACTGCGGCCCTATGGAGTGCTCGATAACACCCGTGTACCCCACTTCATGAAGGACTTGGGACGCTACCGGCAGCAGCTAGAACATATCATGGCCACCAACCGGCTGGATGAAGCAGAACTGGGCCGCTTGCTGCCGAACTGATGTTAGTTAAGGGTTACAGGAAGAAGCTCTTGACACAGGCCTCAGAACACCACCACCCCCAGAATATGAAGCTCTTTATGATTCCAAAGCCTAGGTATTTCTTGGGGGCGCTGGGAGGCCAGGAGCATCCTGAGAAGATGAGAGGCAACGTCAGAAAGTTTTATCCTTCCTAGCCTTTGGGGGGCCTGTGACCTAGCATGCCATGTAAACTCCTGAACAGGGGAGGTTTGGGGGAAGGAGGGGAGCTGAGCAAGAGTGGGACTATGGGGTGGCTTAGGAATAGAAACTTGTTCCTGCATGAGATGGCTCTTGGGTGTCTAGTACTCCAGTCTCTCTCTTCCCCCACCTGGCCCATTGGTGCTCCTTGAGTATTCATGCTGTCTACCTCTCACTGGGTGTGGTGGGAGTTGGGATCCCCTCTGAGGTGAATGTCTGAGCATGGGGTCCTAGCTTTCACCCAGGCTCAGACCCAGCTGGGCTGGGGTTTGCTTTTTGCCTCTCACTGGGTCATGTATTTGTTCTATACGTAGGTTCTACTCCCTGGGGCTGGGAGGCAGCGGCTCCTAAAAGTTCAGTGGAGGGACAGGATACTCTGGGAAGGCACCATTTGTTCCTCTCCCCTCTTATCACACACATACATGCTGGGCTTCAGGTCTTGTGAGTCTTGTACCTGGCCCTGTCCTCCAACTCCTCCACTGGTCTTGGTGGTTCCTGTCTTTGCCCACACCCTCACAGCTGGTCTCTGGCAGAGGTTGGTACAGAGGTGTGGCTGAAGCAACCATAGTGTTGGCTGAAGCAGGCCCCTAGGGTTTGTTGTCAAGTTCTGAGCAGCTCCCTGGCCAGAAATACAAAGCTGGTTATTGCTTCTATTTTACTTCAGATTCAGCTGTGAGGACTGACCCAGTACCATTCCTACCCTGGACATTCATTTTCCCACCTGTGTGGCTTGGAAACACAACTGGAAAGTTCTTATTCATTTAGTTACATTAGAGATCCTTGTATGTGCCTGTGTCTGGTTACACCCTTCACTGAGTTCCCAGTTCAAATGAAAGCCAGACAATTAAACAGCAGTTACAATAATGTGTGGGGCCTCTGTCTCAAGTTTCTTCTCAGGGACCCCCTTCAAGACTCTGAGCTCCAAGACCTCCCTCCCTGAGTGGACAGAAGTCCCCTTCCCTTGATTGGTATCCTAAGCCCAGGGGGTTTCCACGGAATGGGGCTGTTGCCTCCCAGCTGCCCAAAATAGCTCCTGAAGGGTAAAAAGCACTGTAGCAGGGTAAGGTCCCATTAGGGGCCTGGGTCTGAGACCTCCAGGAATACAGCTTGGTCTGTTAAGGGGGTGGAAAGGGGTTGTGAGACTGTTGCAGGGGTGCAGGGTAAGGGGGTACAAGCCTGCCTAGTTCAGTGGAACTCAGACATGAACCCATCCGCAGTTCTTGGGTAAATAGCCAGATTTATGGAGAGTCAGGCCCAGGCAGACCCTCCAGAGTTTATTCATTTTGCAGCAGGCCAGGTGGAGTCTTGGTGCATTGGATCAAGCTCTGGTTGGTTCTCAGGTTTTATCCAGCTTGGGCAGGATATGGGTATGTCAGGACTCTGGCCTTCAAGAATCTAGAGATAAAAGGGGATGGCGGTAAGTGCAGTGGGGATGGGTCCCCACTTCTGAGGCCACGACCTTTAACAAGCCTGTAAGCAGGGGTTTGGATAACCTCACAACCTTCCGATTCATCCTCTTCTTGGAAGTCAGGCTCCGGCTCTGGCTCTGGCTCAGACTCTGGTTCTAATTCGGGCTCTCGTTCTGGCTCTGGCTCTGGATCCGGCTCTGGTTCTGGATCCATTTGGAGTTCCTGAGAGGCTTCATGGCTCTTGATCTTTATGTTTTTCAGGTTCTCAGGTTTTATCCAGCTTGGGCAGGATATGGGTATGTCAGGACTCTGGCCTTCAAGAATCTAGAGATAAAAGGGGATGGCGGTAAGTGCAGTGGGGATGGGTCCCCACTTCTGAGGCCACGACCTTTAACAAGCCTGTAAGCAGGGGTTTGGATAACCTCACAACCTTCCGATTCATCCTCTTCTTGGAAGTCAGGCTCCGGCTCTGGCTCTGGCTCAGACTCTGGTTCTAATTCGGGCTCTCGTTCTGGCTCTGGCTCTGGATCCGGCTCTGGTTCTGGATCCATTTGGAGTTCTGGCTCCTCTGGTTCAGCCCCTTCAAAGGCCTCAACTTCTAACCCTGGCTCTGGCTCCTCTGGAGTTCGGGATTGCATTGCCTCGGAGCCCTCAGGGCCCCCGGCCTCCTCTTGATCTGAAGTTCTGGGGAGCCCAGGACATCCACGCCCTGAACTGGGTGCCTCGGGTGTCCAGTGGCCTGGGCATGGAGGGTCATAGCTGCGGTCCCGGTAGCCTGGGGAAGTGGAATGATTGAGGCTCAATTTTACATTCTCTCCCCTACTTTGAGAGACAAATACTGTCCTCCACTTACCCTTTTGCTACGCCGCCCCCAACAAGTCATGCCCCCTCCCCCGCCCACGCTCACCAGGCCCCACGTGCTGCCAGTCCCAGGCTGGGTCGGGCATGCGCACAGTTCGCTGGGCACAGTGCAGTAGCTCCTGGCAGGCTGCCTCGCCCTTGCTCTGCACCAGCAGCAGCAGGCGGCGCACCCTGCGCTCCGCATCAGGAAGCGCATCCAAAGCCTCGTACTCAGGCCCAGTGAGCACACCCCTCGCCACCAGTGCGTCCAGCAGCACCCCAGAGTCCGCCTGCAATGTTTCTACCAGGCGTTTCCGCTCCCTGTCGATGGTCTCCGACGGCCGCTCCTGTGCGTTACCCATGGTGCAGGGCTGTACCAGGAAAGGGGAGAGGAATAATAGGGGCTGGTGTTCTCCCAACCCTGACCCAGGAGTGATCTAAGTTCACCTTGACCTCAGCTGAGGCCCAGGGAACAGAACGTATCCTTCTGCCTCTAGGCTGCTGTCAGTCTCCAGTCTCTTTAGGTCAGGTGAGGGCTCTCTCTAGGCCAGGACCTCCTCATGAGCCCCAGCCACCTGCAGAGCCTGCAACCAGTTGAGACCTAGTTTATCCAACTATTCTCCATTCTATTCCAAACCAGATTATTTACTTCTAGATGCAGAAAAATGTAGGGTCGATCCTTACCTCTTTTCTGGACTTTTCAAAACTTTGGATAAGGCTCTCTTGTCTTAATTTCTCAGACAATCTGATCTGGGCCCAGAGCCCAAATTGCTGAGGTGCCCGTTTCTTTCACCTGATCCGAGGTCCAAGCATTCCACAACCCTGCCCCTGCACTGACACTACCACACTGCAAGCTCAACATGGTCATGTGACTCTTCCTATTTCCTTACTACCTAAGCAGAGAACTTGAGTTCTCCTGAGTCCTGATTTTGACTGTGACCTCCTGACATCACCAGGGATGCACCTATTTCACTGATGGCCTGCCAATGACTCACAGCCATGTCTTCCTTGATCTTGGAATACCCAAGGTCCAGATCTTGAAAGCTATCGAAGGACTGATTGCTGAATTTTTACTGTCTCCTCTCCATGAATTGTCCATTTTGAGAGGCTGCCTCTAACAAACAGTAGGAAGGTATAAATCAATCTGCTTTGTTCCTCTTACTAAGGACTAATGCCCATTGAGTTGGATGGCCTGGACTCAGCCAGCAAGACCCCTGAGATAAAGAAAAAGAGATTAGTAAGCTGGTCATGGTGGTGCTTTTGATCCCAGCACTCAGGAGGCAGAGGCAAGTGGATCTCTGGAGTTTGAGGCCAGCCTGGTTTACATAGTGAGACATTAGGCCTTTCCTTTTGCCTTACTTTGTTCATGAAGCATCCTTCTGGGTCTCCTCTACCCTAAATGTCCCTCTTCTCTTTTCCTGACCCTTTGGATCCTAAGCCCCATCCCACTCCCACACTTCTTTAAATATTGTCACAATACTCTGCTCCTGATCCCTTCATACCCTGGTTCCCCTCATATCTAAGTGTCAGCTCTTCCCCAGGACACTGAGCATAGAGCAGACATAGTCCTGCCCCTCTATCTCCCTTTATATCCTGTCTGTGACAGTTATCCTGCAACTAGTCTTCACAGCTCCTGCCCCACAACTCCACCACCATCAGCTCACCTTCTGGAACAGTACCTCTGAGTACTGAGTACTCATTCATTCCCACCACCAGACTTTGAAAACTTTCTGAGATAAGAGTTATTATTCCTATTTTACAGATGTAGAGACAGGTTCAGAGAGATTCAGTTGAACTGGACTCTAACCTGAACTATAACAAGGTTCTTTGTCTAGCTGAATGCCAGACCTAGCCACCTATCTCCTGTCCTTATTACCCATCAAAGGGAATCTCAGCTACCTAGTCTGGCTATTTAGCCACCTCCCACTTCCCTGGACAGACAGGTTCTTTGCCACTTCCATCCATCATTCAGTCCTGGGAGAATTCCCTATGTCCCTGGCACCTCTGAGCTTTGCTGATGCTGTTCCCTAAGCCCAGAATACCCTTCCCTTGCCCCCTACTCCATGGGCCCAGCCCCCAAGACTCAAATGTTTCCATGTCTACCCTAATTCCTAAGAACTTGGAGATAGGTGGTTTCTTCTCTGCCCTGGTCCTTATTACTGTGTTAATTAAGATCACTATCCTGTGTGCATAGTACCTCTGCTCCCTTCAATGAGGCTTCCAAAGATTGTCCCCCATCACTAGACACTGGAAGGGGGTGGGACCAGCTCCTATTCTGGACAGAGAGGAAGGGTGCACAGTGAATTAGACCTTTCCTTCCCCATCCCTGTACCTTATTTTCATGTTAGTTACTTCCTCTGCTACTCCAAGTCTTGTCTGGGAAGCAGAGACCCCCAGCGTTCTGGAGCGCTGGGATCCTCAGCTTGCGGGATGGGCTTTGTTGCTGGGGAGTCAGGGTGGGACCTGCGGGAGCAGGTTGCGCATGCGCGATCGCAAGGGTACCCTCACCTGCCCTCCACTGGGTTCCGGAGCCTCAGTCCTGCGGAAGGGCGGGGCTCACAGACCTGTGAGCACCGCTGTCGGTAGTGAGGCGCGGATTCTGCCCAATCTCTTTCCCCTCCCTCCCTCTTGGGTGGAGTCGGGATGGTGGTCCGAAGCCTTTGGAACGGCCCCACTCCCGGGTTAAGCCGAGGCAGGGCAGGAGATGACAGTGCAGAAAGGGCTGGGCGAGGTGGGGACGCTCGCAGCAGCTGCAACAGGGGCGGGGCGGCCAGGGCTGCCGGGAATCGGGGAGGGAGGGCCGCACTTCCCCCGCTCTGGGAACGCCACCGCGGAGGCCAAGCACTGGCTGGGAGCGGTCAATATAGTCCGCTATCCCTCCGCATCCCCAGGGCACCTGGATTCAACTTAGGGGGTCAGTTCAGCTCGCGGTTCCATGTGTCCAGCACTCTGGGCCTGTTAATTGCCAAATGCTTTTAATTTATCTTCCGGTCGAGTCCGCCCTCTGCCTGTCACAGATGTTTAGAAAAGTGAACTGACTTGTCCAGGGTCAGAGAATGCAAGTTCTATGTGGCCTAGAATCCCCCGTTTCCTGAAGGTTGTAGTGGCTTGCGCCAGGTTCCAGACCTGAATCGAGGAGTAAGGGGGAGAGGTGGGCGTCTGCTCTCTCCAGGGGATCTTCGCGTAAGCCCTAGCATCTGCCCCCCAGCTATGACTCCAGTGATCCTCGGTAGTTAGAGAAAAGAGACCAGAAACAGAGAGAGAGAAAAAAAATGCAGTTTATGTTGCGGGACTCGCTGGGGTAATAGAGGCTGTTGAATACTGGGGCCTTCGATCGCCCTCCCCTCGGGGGGGGGGAGCGCTCTGGGAAGCCTAAAGGGGTGTGTTGCTGCGTGACGGTTCCCCGGCCAGGTCTTTTCAGAGATGCGCGGGGGGGGGGGGGACTCCAGGGTTCAAATAGGAGGCACGGCTCTCAGGGGTATTGTAAATGGCTAAAGCTCCAGGAACAGCCAGTGCTGTGCCTACCAAATCCGCCTGAACGTCCAGTAGGAGTGGGGCCACCAGCGTGTGATCTTTCCCTAGGAAAGGAAAGGTGGGCTGTTCTTTTAATCTCTCTCTCTCTCT